CGATATCGGAATGTGATTGCTTCGGGTGAGTTCGAAGCTAATAATGATCATGAATTGACTTATTATTGGGATCATTTGTTCAGAACCGTCTGCAAGGACTCGTTCGAAAATTAAGAGTCCCCTTTGGAGGATGTAATTAAGTGCTGATACAATTTCCAGTCAGCATTTTCGTGTGGTCTTGTTGGTGTCTGGTCAGCTTCATCTCTCTGCATTTTGTTTCATGAAAGATGTTAAAATTATATGCTACTGCTTTATGGTCACTACCTGGAAATTCATGTCCTCCATATCCTGTAGACGGTTTTACGTTGTTCGGGATAATAAATTCTAGGATATTTACTAATCTAGTGGGTAAATTTGTGTGTTGTGTCCACCCTCCTGTGACGATGGAATTCAGAAGATTATCTTACAATTGCTGTCCTCGAAGCGAAGGTCATGATACTCCCGGCATGTTAAAATCACCTCCAATTATTTTTCGGCTGAAAAGAAGATTGTTTGTAATAATATAGATGTTGCTGTACATATTGTATATTCCCTGCTGGGGTAAGGAGGCTGGTACACATAACTCACAGTTATAGGTTTGCTTCTGGCAACTTTTATTTCTACCTATATCGAGACACTGAGTTGAGTTACTGGACTGGGCTGCACACCTGGATTATTCACAGTAAATTAGTGTTCCACCCTAATGGCCTATCTCCCTGTCCCCTCGAAAAATGTTATAGTTATCAGATCTTAGGCTCTCATTGGGGATTTCACTTCTGCTATCTGTCTGAAATATTATAAGCCAAGACTCTGTGAAGCCATAATCCTCTTAACAGCTCCTTCAGTCGAATATTCAATTATGCGCTCGGATTTCATAAATGATCCTAGACAGATGTTTTGTGATGGGTCACACAGTTGCGTGAGGGGGATAATGCTGTCAAACGTACTCTGTAGGTTTGGAGTTGGTTTCAGAAGTGTCAGTAAATCATTTTCGCTACGAGCCGCACTAACTATCAGTTCCTCCATGATATTAGATACGATAAATTTAAGAATATGCTTGGGGATAATAACCTTGGTGCCAGTTGTTTAGAAGGAGTATCAGTAGATTCTGGGCTGTAGATTCCACAAGTGAATACTGTATATAGCTACAGGTGACACAATACAATCCTTATTAAGGATGAATATGTGGATATTTTAAGGAACGCGGCCGAATTCAAAAAGAATACAGAAAGCTGATTCACGCAGAAACAGAATACCCGAAGGGCAACAGTAATTTAATAGCTAAGTCTAGTGTCTCGAGGGGATATATGGTGTTGTTAAGGTTCATAAATCAGTATATCCTATTCGAAGTATAGATGATTTTTAAAATTCAACCGATCTTAAATAGTCTAAATGTTTTGGAGTGGTATTACATGCACCAAGAAGCCATCCAGAATCTAGACCAACCAATTCCCATGGACCAAAACGACGATGAGGTGATTTAAAATAAGATGGTGAGACAAATAATGGTTAATTGTCACATTGGCAATTCACACATAAGTATTCCGATAAACATGATTATAGAAGCTGCCAGAAAAGAACGCATTTCTGACCAAGAACTTGCAACCAGAAGACATAATGCGAGAGGTAAACCTATGCGTGACAATTACAGTATTTAAATTCCAACGGAAAATATATAAACATTAAGAGAGTTGCAGTGGTAAGACTAATATGGTTAGCATTAAACGTTGCGAATGTATACTATCATTCCAAGGAGACTCCACGTCCTTCCTATATATATCAACGATGTACTATTCATACTTGCATTCAATGCCGTTTTGCAGCTTCCCAGGACTTTCTTCCCTGCCTTAAATAGCTTTCAATCACGTGGCTGCATAGCACTCACCCAAATATACGCCGTTTACTGGTTGACCATGACTATCATCAAGAAACGGAACGAAGTTTGGGTTGTCGCTCAACTTCCATGTTGACCCTAGTGAAGGGTTTACAATTTAACATTTATAAGAACCTGTTCTGATTGCTTGTACAATGACCGGAAAATTTACACTTTTGAAAAAGCATTAATTCGTGATACTTCACGATTGTAATTTATAACATAACTGATCATGTCTGTAAACAAGGCATGCATTTCTTGTAAACTTACCCGTTTATACGAAATATAAATTATTATTATTATAGACAGTTAATACTCGCCTGGAAACAGCTTCATTTGGCGTATGAGATCCGCCGTGGATTTCTACAAATGTATTCGTAACGGTGTCTATTGATTTCCTAATTCCCTCATGTGGTCCTGTTGGTATGCGGGTATTCACCTTCCCCGAATAGTCCTGTAACGACAGAAGACTTGGGCCAGGCAACACATCTTTTATGGAGAAAATCAAGAGATATTTATGGATCTTTATGTACAGTATTGTCAGCAGAGGAGCAGCGTCTTTTGGTTGGTTGTTTTCTCGCTCAAGGTTATTCTGTACTGCTTGTGACCGTTTCCCAGAAAGTTAAGCCACATATCTGCGAATCTTATTTGCACGCGTTAAGTCTTCTGTGACTGGTTTGTGAGTTCGTCAAGGTTAAGCTTTGTTCTTGTTTTTTTCTGATGACCCCGATTCGGGAGGTGAACATTGACGTAAATTTTTGTCTACAATTTTGGCTTACAGAATGCTGTCACCACAGTCCTACTTGTCTGACATTACTGTCAAATTCCGTTTATCTGCTTCACTCACCAATAGATACTATTTATTCTTAAGGCATTCTATGGTTTCGAATTTAGTTTCTTCAGATTAGCACTTCCTCTCTTTGTTGTAATCTAAGTCAACATTGTACCCATTCTTAATCTGCCGTAGCTCTTACAATCCAAAGTAGTGCTATTTCTGTTACAAAACACGGCATGTTAATAGATTTCTCGAACGTTTCAACTCGAGGGTAGGGGCAGCGCAGTTCACTTACGAATTGGAAAGCCAGCAGTGGGAGCTTCCAATACTAGATTTTAGCGTAAAAAGGAAAGAAGATAGGAAGTCAAACACTAATGTTTACAGAAAACCTGCACATTCAAGCCAATATTTGGGATCTCGAATCATCCCACGGTATGTCAGCAAAAGTGGGGTAGGTGAAATGTTTAAGTAAAAGGGCGCGAAAACTAAACAGTAGGAGGGAAAACCTGAGACAGAAAGTGAAACACACAAGAATGGCTTTAAAACGTAATAATTGCTCTGGTAAACTGATCAGGAAGTATGTAGGAAAATGTAAAAATTATAATGATTGTAGTGATAGTGATGATAGTGATAGTAACTAAATGTATGACAAACACTCACAGAATGATGACAAAATCAACAGTAAGGAACTTAACTCATCAGTAGTACTTCCACACAAAGAAGGAACCTCGGGAACCTTACATGGAATTCTTAACAATGCAGGAATAAAAATGGCATTCGAAACCACCAAACTTAATTATGAAAAAGCTTTGTCGGTTAAAGGATCCTGTGGAGTGAGTTATGTAATACTATGCAAAGACTGTCAGGTCAAATAGACAGCTCAAGGTAGTAGGTTGGGGTCAGTCAGACTAACGAAGCACAAAATCTTAGCGAAATCTAGATTACTTGATTCCAATAAGATAGGAAATCTGGATGATAGTTCATCTGTGGTACTAAATGCAGTTATACACAACCATACAATAGGTTAGAATAAGATGAGAGTTTTAAAATATAATATAACGGGGTGGAGGAAGAGATCGATAACGGAAGCTCTATTCAAGGAATCAACTGAAAATACGTGTAATAGGAGTGATTCAACACCTGTCCCGGACATCTGAATAATTCTGCTATCCCCACGATGAGTGGGAATGAATAAAGAAACTGAGAGATGAACGTTCCGAATTTGTGTAGTTACAATTGATACGATTTTGAACAATACATTTTGCTCGAAATGTCATCCGGCAAATAACACTGTTTCACTGTGTAATTTATCTAATATTGATATGCAAGTTTGTAAAACCATAAAATGGCATTTATATAGTATGCTTGCTTTATAACCGGTCATTTTTGTATTCAAAAGCATGTGAGAAATTTATTTGAATGCCTCGGAGGCGATATCTATGCGCATGAATTGCACCACCGACCTTGCTTTCCATTTGTGCACACTGCACTTCAAAATACAGAGGCTGTTCCAAAGACACTGCAAGAAAATGAGAAAATCCATTATGCGGGTAGGGTGGATCTCCAACAATTCAAAGAAGCCCCAAAAAGAAAGGTGTTTACACAATCTTTAATTCTGTGAGTCCTTGTTTTCATTGTTATTTGCTCGTTGTATTCATATTGTAACTCTGCTTCAGTAAGACATCTCCATTTTACTGTATTACCGCCCATGATTTCCACCAGACTCCACAAACACCCATTTCCTTTTCCACTTTCATTTCCAGAAGATCACCTCAACGTTATTCATGGGCACCAAAATCACTGCTCCGGAACTCTAACAACGAAGCGGTCAATGAGTGTGCAGAAAGAAATACACACGACGGGCGGATCATTTGGTGACATCATGCGCACAGCTGGCCTCGATCGGAATGCGAATAGGAAACGAATAGTTGAGGGTCTTGTAAGAAAACTGTATGAGGAGGACATCAAAAATTATTGGCATTTTTGGAGTCAACTAAATAGAGACTGTAAGGGACAGTGTGGGATGGAGATATGATTCTTAATTCCCATGTTCTACTCTAACCCCGAAGGAATTGGAAAAATACAGCTGCTAACCCCTCCTGCAATTCGTGTTATATGGTTGCCCTCATGAATTTTAAGGTTATGAGATTGGCATAAAAATTCATCTATGAAAATCTAGTGTTTTTCGTTTTCATGGGCGTCCGTTGTTCTGCGAAAGGCACGTCGAAAATACTCTTACTTCTCGCGGAAATTTAGCAGTAAATTCAGTGCTTTGCGAAAGAGTAACTTTAACACGTTAATTGCCTTTTTAATGGTTTTTCTCACTCTTCCTCAAGGCGCTTTTTCCAAAAGGAAGCGGTACTTTATGAACATATGGTTCTTTACATTTTAAAAGGTTAGTTGTAATTGTTTTTATGGTGTCATAGTTATTAAACTTATTACGGACGTCAATACCATTACGTAAGATGTGTGAGTCTAATAAAGTGAATGTTTTCAACGCCATATGTACATAATGTAAACTTGACAATATTTTCGTTTTGTGTGCTTAATTGTAGATTTTTAACTACAAAAAGAATCCCTTTAACTTCGTCGATTATCGTATCACATGTTACAAATGATTTTTCACACTAACTACCATCGTTTTGCACACCAATACCTGAAATCTTTAAATCGATTATAGTAACAAAACAACAAATATTTCGAACGGAAACGGATTAAACTACCTTTAGGAAGTGAAAAATAGTTCTTGCAAGCTGGTGAAAGTTTCAGTCTACCTTTTGTGTTCAAATGTCTGACTAGCAACTCCGTCTGTAGAAGTAAGTGATTGATTTTCTTTTTTCAAACTTTCCGGTTATCACATTCTGGAGTTATTTATTAAATGTTTTATGCTATGCAAATGTGTTAAGCCGCTGTATTTCCATCTTTTAAAGGGATGGAAATACTATCGGCTTACCTTTGGGCGTAGTTCCATCGCTTTTGTCCATTTTAATTCTCTCCACAGTGGTACCAAATCAACGCTGGCGGATGCATTATCTTCCTAGTTTTCCCTTTTTACATGGTCTTATTTCGAACGCTAGACTGCGAATCTTACTCATGATCTCTCCCGTTTTAAAGATATCCAGACATTCACCCTACGCAGTTATTTGCTTTCCTGGTTCTACGTTTATATTGTCCTTATTCTGGAACCAACGGGCTTTAAGACATTACTGATGGTTCATTATCAATAGATTTCCAGACATTCAGCTGAGTTTTCCCTTTCAATGACTGACGTGGTTTTATTTTTGACAATTGGTCACTGTAAACCTATTGTGTTTTCGTCATTTTCATTCTTTGACTGTCCTCATTTTTTATGTCAACCAACTGATTGTCAAAGGGTAATGGTTAAAAGTACATGCAATCTATAATTAAAGTGTGGCTAGTGAATGACTTTTTTTAAAATCGTGCTGACCAACTTGGGAACTTACCTTTCGAATCTCAGCTTGATATGCATTGGTGTGATACAGATAATGTGTTCCAACAGAATATGATTCTCAAATATTCCCACAGTTCTATACGGCATTAGCAACAGAATACTATATATATTTGAACATTCTGTTTCATGTCGTTTAATGTAAACCAAAATCGCTCGCTCTGTGGTTGGTTGAAGGATATAAACTGTATATATATAAACAGCGATTTGATTAATGAAAAAGATAACTTCCATGTCTTACCTCCTGTTGTTACAGATATAGAGTTAACTGTCGTATGTACTTCAGGGTCGCTTGTTAGTTGTCGAAATGATAACTATGAGGGCAAGTTTCCTAATGTTTTTCCATGTGATTAGGCATATGACCTACCACCTATATGGTGGCGTATTACATTGCATATGGTGTTGACTTGGATTGGTGCGTTGTCGTCCAAAATCTAAATAAAAAAGACGATGCGATGACTCGCAAATATTTCTTGTAAATTAGTGCGTAATGTCAAGTTAAAAGTATGTGATACGAGAAGAACATCCCTAGAAAATGGCATTCAGTAAGTGTTTACAAAATAGGATTCCCATTAGGATTAGTCATTTATCGGTGCAGCTACATTGTTGTATTAAATAGTGTGAGCGATCACTGAGTGTAACACTAAGACAATCCCACTTATTTAGCCTATGGCCCTGCAGACATCTCAGAACCGTGATAGGAAATTTCATTAGTTTGACCGAGACTTTGTTTTCACAATATTGCATCTTAATTCAACCATATTAGTACGTTACATCTAGACTTTGTTCTACCTAGAGTTTGTCATCATAGCATAACGCTCATTATTTGGTGCTCATATGTGCTTAAACTTTTAGACTGTGCTGTTTGTATTTACTTATTTTTATCCTATGATATAGGTGTCTTGTTATGTTGTTTTCGTAAATGAAATATGGAGTTGTACTCATTATTTCCTAATTTTTTTACAAAATTTTGCATGTGTACTGTTTCTCTTTTGATTTAGATGGTCTATCATCCGGTTGATTTCGATATTGATGACTTCCTCTCTAGAATTCAGGGTAACAAACCTCCTTTCGTATGTCCATCCGAAACATGTCAGAAAGTTTGCAAGTCATACAGTTATATGCAGAAACATATGCTGATCCATCGCCCTCCTGCTCCAATAGACATTCCTGGACCGCTAGAATATGGTGATGGTTATGGAGATTTCAAATGTACACCCGCATTGAACGGTACCTCGGACCAGGTTGAAAAAATATCCCTGATGTTCGGTGGTTCTCTTGAAAATTCTGGTCACCAAAAAGCCAGGACACCCATGGTTTTTACTGACGCTCATACCTCAGTGGTTTTCGATGCTTCTTCCACTACCAGAGGCCGCACATTTCGTTGTAATATATATGTTCCCTTAACTATTCGCCTGCAGAATATGTCAGACTCGAGAGGGGAACAAGATTCCACCCTAGAAGGCACTTCTGTTAGTAAAAAGTATCCATCACATCGTTCTAAAATGTCGAGCCTTAAAAACAAAGGTCGCATTAAGAACAACAGAGCTGTTTCAGTCATAGGAAAGTTTTCAGAAAATTGTAGAACTGAGCCATCAGATAAAAGTATTGTTCTTACAAATGGTGCCACAACAAACGATATAGAAACACCGAAGGCAGTCTATTCAATCGATCCAGAGTTCTCTGTTCGTAAACCCATCAGCTTGAGAGAAAATTCGGGTTATATTCGTTTCATTGAAAAAACAGCTGATGAACTGGACGAAGTCGTTGAGTATGATTTAGATGAAGAGGTAAGATTTTCTCCAATTTTTTGGTGGCGTATTTATAAGTTTGTGTTTATGCCAATTTTTATTCTTACATCCCAATCCAATATGTTTTCTGTTACTACCAGTTGAATCCAGAATGTGCATTTCGTCCTATTTCGGACACGTCATCCGGATGCACCTGCATTCTCCGTTACAAACGCCAATGTGTTATCCACTTGACAACTTGGTTGACAATAGCCAATATCTTGATTAACTCAATTTTTCTCCTTTCTCCTTCACTAGATGTCAACAAAAATTGATCTAAGCAAAATATAAACCTATTCCCGTTGTCCAGATAACGCTTTGGCGTTTGAAACGAAGGGGACATTACACATTTACAAACTTAAAATTAGTCTAGGCTATATATATATATATATATATATATATATATCCTTGTATCATTTTGACAATTTCGACTTTAAGGGAAGACAAATGTTTGTCTTATATAACTGCGGAAAATAAACAAGTTACAAAGAAATTATTGAGAGATTTGGAAACAAAAATGTCAATCTGTTAAATCATGTAGAAGTTTTTTTAAATAAAGTGCAATTATTGCGGTGATTAGTTTTCACTCCGACACCATTTTTTCACAGGTTTCTGTTGTGTGATGGCAATATTATCTCTTCTCTTCGCTTAATTAATTCCCTATTCAATTTATTTGTATGTACGTACGTAGGCACTGTTTGTACATTTCATTACTAGGTTTGTTTAACTTGATGTAAAGGTTTTGAAATGTGGGAATTAAATGATAGAGGAAAAAATTCAACCATAGAAAGTAATTTTGAAATCTAATAGACTAATAATAATAATGATTTACTTTATTCCAAAAACAGTACTTGTGATACAGAATGGAATAAATTTTTATGAAGAAATGGCAACTTAAGATGAAAGAAAACATGCACCGGTTTTATTTCAGCTCTATCCTGTCAGTTTTCTGTAAGCTGAGTTATGAAAGTTCACAATTTCATAACAGTTCTAAAATACTCTAGTTCATTTTGGAAAAATATTGGACAATAATTAATTAAGAATAATCATGGTGTATAGATGAGTCGAAATCTTAAGTTGGTAAAATATAAAAGTATTGTTGAAATTATACATGTTATGTGATCTAGTTTCTCGAAGGAAACTGGGGAGCACAGGTAGCAGCAACATGTTGAGGCGCATAAATTATAGGATAACGTAAATGATTACAGAATTATTAACAAACAGATAAGATATGAACAAAAATATTGAGTTAAAATCATTTAGTTAGATATCGGACGTATGAAGCATCCCATTTAATAAATGATAATTTTACTAAGTAATTTCGAACAGCATGAACAAACCTTATTTTTCTAAAGTAAATATGAAATATAAGAGGTGTTGGTGTGTCACATAATATAAGTGTGTAAACCAATCAACTACTTCCATTTTCATTCAGCTGGCAATGGGCCACTCCTGTTGTCTGAGGGCTGTGATACTACCTGGCTGCTCAAACCTCAATAGATGGAGCGGGATTTGAACCTATGACCCCGTGGTTGCCTAAACCAACTACTAACCACATCATTAATGTCTAAACAGAATTTCATTCATATTTCCTTATTATGCAAAATTGAAATTCATCCCGTGAATACACTTGTTAGCTGATGTAAGATTAAGTTAGAAAAGAGGAGTTAGATGTGGTAAAATCAAATATAAGATCAATCTATAGAGTCTGTTGATTAAAACAATGTAGGAAGGTGTAGACTTGAGTACTCGAGACGTAGAAAACCCCTAACTGGAGACCCTTGGTTTTGAGTCCTTCTCAATGGCGCCAAATGCATTCAATCTTTCTGATCTCCTAGACTCACTAAATCCTCTTTGTTCTTTTTATGATTATTCTTCCATCTGCAAATCTTAGTCTCTTATAAATTCTCTGCATTTGTTCTGTTTCTTTTCCTACCTATATGTTTGTTTTCTTGAAGTGTGTGGAAAGTTGAACCGTTGTATTTCTTAACAAAGTTCTACATTTAAAATTCAGTTAGTATACAGTTATAGGTATTTTGGTGCCTAGAAATTTTACTTTTTCATTCTACGAATAATACTGATTTTTTGACTTCCTACTTAGGATCTTTTTTGGCTTGAAAGAATCAATGCAAAGCGTAAAAGTGCATCCCTATCACCTGTTACTGAGTCCACTTTAGAATGGATTATGGATAGATTTGAGAAGAAGGCCAGATTCAGATTGTTTTCATCTAATGATGGTTGTGAGACAACTGATATATTACCTGATATCGGTGGTAATCAATCAGGTATTGATGAAGATGCTGTATGCTCTGTATGTCAAGATGGAACTTGTGAAAATACAAATGTGATATTATTTTGTGATGTTTGCAATTTGGCTGTTCATCAGGTAAATGCTAACAACTAATTGTATTTTTAATTTTACTATTTTGTGTATCGTATGAATTCACTTCATAACTGTTTATTGAATATTGCTTTCCCTTTATTAAATATATGTTGGTAAAGCTAGAGAATTATTTAATATTTGCTTGATATTTAGTGTAATATTCTGGGCTAAAACATCTATAATTGTATGGTCTTGATTCACAGAATATTTTGGAGAAACTGTGGCTGACCCAACAGAATCCCAATCGTGGTTTGCTCTTATTCTTTCTAAACCCACTTTGTTCTCTGGGAAGGGAGATTCGGCGAAATGTGACCCCAAAAACTGTTCGTTCCTACTTACTGCGTGGGGGTCTCTCAGGCACCGGTAATGTCTTCATACCGGCACAACTCCAGCAATCACTCTAGATATCCTGTTCGTGTGTTCAGCTACAAAGAGTTGACTTCTGTACTCCGTTGTTGCACAACACCAATGCTCTTTTCATCTCAATTCAGTTATATCAATGTATTTAAACTTGTCTGTAACTTTACCTGGTCTATATTACCTTACCGACCATTAGACAGTATATGGCTTTTAACTTACCAATGTATCTTTTCGTCTTATTTTATACAAGCGTTTAGTTAGCTTCAGAATAGTTGTTCTTCAGTCATTTTTTCAAAAAGACTGAGACACATTGATGAGAGTACTAATGCGTGTACATGGTTTTTGTTACAATATTCTTGCATCTGTTGGAAATTGGAGGCCCAGTTTCTGTATTATACTCAACAAATGCTGTTATAGAAAAGAAAAGGCGTTCAGCAAAGAGTTACTCTTTTCGGCGATATCATTCTCAAGCTTTACAAACCGCAAATTTATAGTAATTTTTCTTGGCAACAAAAGGAATATTTCCAAAGATGCAATTGTTAATTTTTGACAACAAATTACGTAATTTAGAAGGCGTTAATCGGTTAGAAACTAAAATAAAGTTACAAAAGTAGGTTGGGTGACGTAATCTAATTGCTAAAGTTCAATGAAAAATGAATGAGAGTCAAGTTAATAATCTGAGTAGAATTCACTTGAAAATGGATGAGAGTTAAGTTGATAAGCTGAGTAGAATTCACTTAAAAGAAAAATAAATAAAAAATGCTGTTATGGCTATTAAATATAAACCTGCCGATAACTGTTAAGTCGAATATAACAACACGTTGTCTAGCTTCTCAGTTTCATTTTAGTGGTCTATCTGCACATTTTCATAACAGTTGTTTCATCAAGGTAGATTCCACTGAGAACCGAAGTCGGTTAAAGAATCGTCGGAAATCATTGGGCCAAAGACGACTTTCTCGTCCTGGTTTTGAACACTCCAGTAGTGCACATGCATGGATACTTCAGGGTTTAAGCCTGTGCCTTTAAACTATGAGGTGAATAAGTTCAGCCCATTTAGTCAATGATTCGGAATTCATTGGCGCATAAAATTTATCTTCTATCATCATTTGGCTTATTTTTTCATGTATATATATATTTCCAGGTAACTGTCAGGATAGTCTTAGGATACCTCTATGATTATGCTAGTCTTGTAAATGTAAGTGCTTAACTTATATAGCAATGTGTAACTTCGTTGTTACAAAATAAACGAGAAAGCGTCTTATTATCGGTATTTAAAGGATCATTTGACTAAAATTTAATATCACAACTAGTTGAAATCCGACGATTTAACACTGTGTAGCAAATAGTTATCAATGCGTGAATAATAAATTAGCTTTTGAAGCGAGCTAATCATTTTTCTGAATAACTTCATATCAGTATAATGTTTTCTACTCTCCTTCCCTCATTATAGTGACAACAGCTAAAATTTTTAGAATACATACAATAAGATTTCAATGCCTTCGATATGTAATAATAAGTGTTTAAGTGAATGCATTATATTCCATCATGATCATTTTTGTTATTTTATGCATTCAGGAGTGTTATGGAGTTCCTTATGTTCCTGAAGGTCCTTGGCTTTGTCGTAAATGCCTTCATTCCCCAAGTGAACCAGTTTCATGTGTACTTTGTCCGAATAGAGGTGGTGCTTTCAAAAAGACTACAGATGATCGCTGGGCTCATGTTATTTGTGGACTATGGGTACCTGAAGTAATGTTTGCTAACCTTACATTCCTTGAACCACTTGAAGGTATAGACAGGATAGCTCCTGCAAGGTCAGTAGATTGCATAATGAAGATTTTCATTTACTCTCTTATTTTTTAAAAATATACTATTCTATCAGCATATGTTGCATTATTGTGATTTAGTATGTCACATCGGGGCAATCTAACAGTGAAGTTTGAAACGTCTACAATTCCTTCTTCCATTCTCTCTTACAGAAGTACGGATGGAACAGGTACATTATTGACTACATAAGTATAAGTTCTAATGGGAGATATGAACGCCAAACTGGGACCAGACAATACAGGAAGAGAACTCATCATGGGTAGAGAAGCTCTTGGAGAAATGAATGAAAACGGAGAACTCTTCGCCGACTTCTGCGCCTTCAACGAACTAGTGATTGGTGGCAGTGTTTACAAGCACAGAGATATCCACAAGGCTACATGGGTGTCACCAGACGGGCGAACCAAAAACCAAATTGACTTTATCACAATATCGAGGAAGTGGAGACGCAGCCTACTGGACACAAGAGCAAGAAGAGGAGCAGACGTTGGCTCAGACCACTACCTCGTACAAGGGACAATCCAAATCAAATTAAAAGCTTTCAGGGAAACAGGAGCTGCAGATAGACCACAAGCCAAGTTCAACACTCAAAAGCTGAAGGACCAGGCTACAAAGGACATCTTCATTGCAAACATAAGGGAAAAAGCCGAGACACAAATCAACACCAACGAAAAGGTCAGCGTCGAAAAGCACTGGAACAAATTGAAAACGGTGTGGAGTCAAACCTGCATGGAAGTCCTAGGCAGAAAAAAGAGACAGGACAAACAGTGGCTCTCTACGGACACTTGGAAACTAATAGAAGAGAGAAGGGTGGCGAAACAAAAGATTATCCAGTGCACCGACGAGCAACAGAAACAGGAGTTGAATGCAAGCTACAATGCACTGAACAAAAGAGTGAAGAAAAGTGCCAGGGAAGACAAAAGAAAATATTGTGAAACCATGGCAAACGAAGCAGAACAAGCTGCAGGCAAAGGAGACCTCGCTACACTATACCAAACAACTAGGCACCTTTCGGGCAAAAGTTCGACACAGATTAAGCCAATAAAGGACGACAATGGAAAGTCAATCACCAAAGAGGTGGAACAGAGGAAACACTGGGCTGAACACTTCAAAAGACTTCTAAATCGTCCGCCACCTACAACGCGTCCAACAATACCAACAACGGAAGCAGAACTACCAATGAACTTCGACCCTCCGACGAAATCCGAAGTCCTGAATGCCATCAAGATGCTAAAAGCTGGGAAAGCGCCAGGACCAGATGGAATCCCAGCAGAAGCTTTGAAAATAGACCCAGAGACAACAGCGGACTTGATGACGCCACTACTAGAGAAGGTGTGGAAAGAGGGCAAAGTACCCGAGGATTGGAAGAACGGATACTTATTCAAACTGCCAAAGAAAGGAGATTTGAGTCAATGTAAAAACTGGCGTGGAATTATGCTTCTGTCCATTCCAAGCAAGATACTATGTCGCATCATCCTGGAGAGAATTAAACAAGCCCTAGATGAAAAACTTCGTCCGGAACAGGCCGGATTCAGGAGGAACAAGTCATGCATTGACCAAATCGCCACCCTACGGATTATCATTGGACAAAGTTTGGAATGGCAGTCACCTCTCTATCTCAACTTCATCGATTTTGAGAAAGCCTTCGACAGCGTCGATCGAGAGGTGATTTGGCAACTACTTCGCTACTACGGGGTGCCGCCGACAATTATACATCTCATCCAACAGCTGTATGACAACGCTGCATGCCAAGTAATCCACAACGGGAGGCTCACGGAATCCTTCGAAGTGAGGACGGGAGTGAGACAAGGCTGTGTACTGTCACCAATGATCTTCCTGATTGCAGTTGATTGGATAATGCGGCAGACAACGGCAACCAACGAGGGAACAGGCATAAAATGGACATACACAAAAGCCTTGGAGGATTTGGATTTCGCCGATGATATATGTCTGATTTCCCACAAACTGGAAGATATGCAAGTGAAAAGCAACAAATTGGCAGAAGAAGCAGCAAAGATAGGACTTCAAGTGAACATAGACAAAACAGAGGTAATGAAGATTCCTGGCCAACATCAACAGCAACAACCGACAACAATCAGCATAAATGGGAGGAACCTGAAGGAAACAACTTCTTTCACCTACCTGGGAAGCATCGTCTCAACTACTGGAGGAACTGACGAGGATATCAAAGCCAGAATCGGAAAAGCAAGACAAGTTTTCATTTCTCTCAAGTCTATGTGGAGATCAACAGCATTCAGCGTCAAAAATAAGATCCGGATTTTCAACTCCAATGTGAAGGCAGTACTACTATACGGATCAGAGACTTGGCGTGTCACAAAGAGCAGCTCAAACAAGCTACAGACCTTCATTAACAAATGCCTTCGCTCAATACTCAAGATCAAATGGCCGGAGAGGATCAGCAACAAAGATCTCTGGGAGCGAACCAACCAGGAACCGATCGTGAAACAAATAGGCAGGAAGAAATGGAGATGGATTGGACACACTCTGAGGAAACCAACAAGTGACATCACTAGACAAGCCCTCGAGTGGAACCCGAAAGGGAAGCGACGAGTTGGTCGTCCAAGGGTGACCTGGAGGAGATCATGTGAAGAGGAATTGAAAGCGTGTGGGCAGACTTGGAGCCAGGTGAAAACTACAGCAGAGAACCGAACGCAATGGAGACGCATGGCTGAAGCCCTATGTTCCTCTAGGAATTAAAGGAAATAATAATAATATAATAATAAGTATAAGTTCTACAAGAAACTGTTTTTCATCTGGTTGTCAGCAATTCCAACTATACTGTCCTACCGTTATGGAGAGAAATGGATTCTGAGAATCATGCGTCTTTTGTTTCTGCTACTAGAATTAAAATCATTCAAGAATTAAATGACATTGTCTTGCGGACTTGTATTACTTGAAGGAAATGTCACACACTTAAGGGGTGTGTCTTCTGGATTTTGTGGAGAATCTGCCTCTACTACCCATATTTCATTATTCACTAACATATCGCAATTTACATGACCAAAAATTACCTTGATTTGTCGCAAAACAAACCCTATGTATTCACTTCATTCTTTGTAATCCATTTCCATTTAATTTTCCCTTTGTATCCTGTGATTTTTTTCTAAATGACTATTCATTGCGTAACCAAGTATTTCTCAACTTTCTCGTCTGCGTAAGATTATCCGCTACTTTTCACACACTTATTTTTCATATGCTTTGATTTATTTTATTACTGACTAACAGTAACCCCTAAATAAACGTAACAGCTTTGAAGAGAAGTCACGAAAAATATATCTCTTTACTGACTTATGTGTTCCTAATTAGAATTATCTTAGTTATGGACCTACAGGCTATCTTTGTCAGTATTTACCGATCAAATTATTACTATTCATGGTTTTCGTATTCCTCTTTCTGCTCCAGCTCACTTTATACAACCATGCTTCCAGCTGTATAAAACTCCCTTATCTCTAGTTGGGCACGACAGCCTTCATCATACTTGAACTGTATCCAATTGAGGAAGTTTGCTTATTTAGTCCAGTTGAAGTTTCTTCGTTAAAGAATGCTTATTTCTAAAAGTATTGCTGCCTTAGTATTAATAAGTTGGTATTTACCAGCATTTCTAGGTGTTTCAGGCTACTATGATTCATCAGCAAATTTTATGTTGACAAATCCCTTCATCTTCAATACTTTTCTTTTCATACTCCGAAGTACTACTGTAATATCGCTACCCGAATAGCCTAACAGCTTAAGTTTTATCACAGTTCAGTGCGTTAGTTTTAATCACTCCCATATTCTTTTCATACATTAATGGCTTAAGTGAGCTGATTTTTATGGCACTTAAATTTACCTAGGTAGTTATTCGGCCATCCTCACGAGTGATACAGTTAACAAAGCGGTTTAGAAGTATTTTGCCTTCATCTACCGATCCTGTTGTGTAGAAGATTACGTGAAAAGTGCCCTGCGTTTCCCTATTTCCAAGTAAATTGAAAAGCAGTCAGTAAGGATATTGCACGTGTTTTTATCGGACAAAGCTTTTTTCTCAGGTTAGCTAACATGCTCGAATTTATTGGCGTTCTTAAATTTAACTTAAAAATTTGTACATCTTAAAAACACGCATGCCATGATTCATTTTTCTGTTCTGTATGCTATAGATGGCGTCTTCTATGTTTCATCTGTAAACAACGCAATGTTGGTGCTTGTATTCAATGTCATAAAACCAGTTGCTATCGAGCATTTCACGTTACTTGTGCACAACATGCCGGTTTGTATATGAAAATTGAACATACAGATGATCCTGAAGACTCTGGTATTCGAAAAAGTGCATTTTGTGATCAACATTGTCCACCAGATCACTTTTCTGTGAGTTTTTATATAATTGCTTCGTGTTTCCCTGTTGACTTAACTAAAAATATGTTGGCAACCCAGCACCATGCTGCATAAACCGAGAAGGTTAAATATAATTGTTATCTCTACATGTATTTCCGAATATTGAATGAATTAGATATTATTTTACTAATATCTGATTACCAGAATATTTAGCTATCAAATAACCATTATGAAAATAGTTTGTTACCTCATAATCTATTTCCCAAGAGTGGGGTGAGTTTTATTGATACTCTATGTTCGTTTATTTATTGCCTTTAGTTACCAATTTATTAACACAGCCTACTGATTCTCTACAGGTTTATCTTACTAGGCTGTCACTTACATTCATTATGGACTCGTCATGCTGATAGGCTGCCATTGTGAACTGTGGATGATGGACGCATTGTATGGAATCCGAATTCTAGTTACGCTTTTACTTGTATATCTTCTTCCAGGATCGTCCTTAGTCATTAGATAAATGAATCTATATTCATTATGACTCTACCTTCTGTTAATGAATGGTACTGATATTTTGTGAAGCAGAATAAAATTATAAGTTATTGTCTAACCATTGATAGAATAATAAATACTTTATACTCTTTTATCCTTTATTTATTTTTATTCAGAGTTCAAATAAAGGCATGTATGCTCATTCTGACTCTGAAAGTCCTCAATCTCCTGAACAAGCAGCTCGTATTCATTTGAGAAAAGCTCGTAAAATTTTAGCAGAACGTCGAAATTCTAAACCTTCTGTTTGTGTACCTATTGTATCGAAAGCGAAAATGGATGTAAGTTTGGCTTTGTTTTCAAAAAAACAGAAAAGTTTCATTGTTTTAAAAAAATGTTTAACTGAAGTAGAATGTGGATTCGTAAAGGGAGGGTGTTTATTCCTTTTCATCATAATATTTTGCCTCAATAAAGAATATGTAAACTACACTTTTGAAGATGATTCTTAGTACATATGATTGGTGTGTTATTGATCTGGTTGAGTTTATTTGTTTGATACCTACTTAACGATTCTTAGATTAAAGATCGAGAGTGAAGCGGTTGGGTGAGTTGCCTCAGCCTTAATGAACTGTTTGGTGACGAAATCTTAACACAGATACAAAAAAGTTCGTGTCCTGTTCATTTTCATGGCTTTGAGACGTGGTCATTGTAAGTGAATGATAGAAAGAGGCTAGCTGTCTTTGACTACACTTGTTCTCATTTCATTTCCCGTGTTTAGTAGTATAATATGGTGAGTAACATTTGGGTTAGGCTGTGAGTGTTAGGTAAGGGGAGCAAGTCAATCCATGGTATTGTGAAGCTACATCGATACATTCCTTTGCGTTCCGAGTGGAACACAGCCCTTCCAGCTTGAACTTTGAAATTTTTCAGTAACGGCAGATTTTGTTTTCATGAGGTCGGGTTGCTCTCCCCACACCCAACCTTTGTTCTTAACGTGACTTACTACCGGGTAGGCGAGGTTTAGGGTTGCACTGGTTGAGATTCGAACGCTGGCTACATGCGTGGTTGGCGAGCATTCTACCATGGAACCACCGACGTACTGTTTTGAAATCATAAATTCATGAAGAATGATGCTTCCACTACCGCAGTAAATGCTTAAATCTGTGACATTATTTTTGGGTTAGAGGATTTAAAATAACAGTTTTGTATCAAATCTAGTTCACTAGTTTGCGACGGTGTCACTGCGGTAAAATGCTCGCAGACCACGCATGTGGTCCGGGGTCCGATCTCCGGCCGACGCACTTCCTTACCTCCCTAAGTCATTAATAAGACTGGTAAAGAGGGAAGGCTGGGCATAAAGCTAGCAACCCCACCCCGTAAAAATAAACACCACTGCTACCCAAACTTCAAGCCTCTAGCTTGAAGCCCTATGTTCCACTGGTAACATAAAGGAATAAAAAAGAAATCAAATCTAGTTCACTAAACTTGGAACAAACTACACTTCTTAGTTTTTCTGTAATCTCATGAAAAATTCACGCAACCACATCAAAATAGACATAGAGTATTTAATTTCAAGAAATCCAGTGGGCAGTTAACTTTAGGGGCTTATTTAAACACTATCTATAATATTTTGTGCTTTTATCCTGATTAGATTTCAGGCCTTTTTTAAAAAGCTACTAAAACTATAAATCTATTTTGTAAAGAATGAATTCAAGTAGTATTTCTAGTGTCTTCTAAACCATTCATAACCTGCATACTAATAGCGGCGAGTATCATAGCATAAATTTGTAATTTGCTAGTCGGTATGAATCAATTTATCTTATTCAACTATTGTATTAAGCACTTTAAAAATAACATAAAGTGGTTGGTATTTCAGAGATAGGTTTTCTTAGATCATATTTATTAATTATGCTTCAAAGCTTCCTAATAATGACATTCAACTATCTAACATCAATTCAGAGTGCACCGAGATAACATCATCTGGCTTGTTGGTCACCTTGCAAATTTGATTGATAGAATTCAGTCAGCACCAACATCAAGGACGGGACACATGACACTGGTTACACCCTAGTGACCAGAAAATGCTATAAACAACCGTCCAGTGGAAAGTATGGTGTTGAATTTTCGCTAAAAAAGGTTAGAAAAGGTTCAGAGTGACAAAAAGATATACGTTACCTCTATGAATTCACTGAATCTCTGAATTGTATGATTTTTTGGGGGATTTTGTGAAATAGCTATATTTGGGAGGTAACCATTAAGGTTATTGTGAATTGACTTCTAACGCGCAGTTATATCTTCTGGAACTTCACTACACTTCATTATGCTCACTTTTTTCATGTGCATCTACCAACAAGAGGATAAGAAAATCTCCTAAGACATGCGATCAAATTCAGATTGATCTGGAGAGATAATTGCTACGTTCCTTGGAGCATTCTAAAAGCCCGCTTCATCTCTGAAGCTGTCGCTCAAAGTGTCGTCTAGAAAGAATATGTGAAAGTTTCACAATTAAACCATCCAGCTCAGGGAACGGGACTACACCAAAATCCACTAGTTCCCTTAGGTTGGTGTTAGTTAATCTGGTAATTTGTGCTTATGCATGTCGTCTATTAGGTAACCAGTTACGTGAAGTGAATTAATAAAATCAATTATGCGGTTTGTACAATTATTATTATTATTGTTCCCTTGGGTTCCTAGTGGAACATAGGGCTTCAACTGCACGTCTCCACTTGTTTCTGTCTTCTGCTGTACTTTTCACTTGCGTCCATGTTATTCCATACTGTTTCATCTCCTCCTCACATGATCTCCTCCATGTCACCCTTGGACGTCCCACTCGCCGCTTCCCTTTCGGGTTCCACTCGAGGGCCTGACGCGCGATGTCACTCAACGGCCTCCTCAGCGAGTGTCCAATCCATCTCCACTTACTCCTGCATATTTGTTGGGCGATTGGTTCCTGTTTCGTTTGTTCCCATAGCTTCTTGTTTGTGATTCTTTCCGGCCATCTAATCTTCAGTATGGAGCGAAGACAGTTGTTGATAAAGGTCTGCAACCTTTTGAAAATATTCTTGGTGACCCGCCAAGTTTCTGATCCGTATAGAAGAACTGACTTGACGTTTGTATTGAAAATCCGAATTTTGTTGTTGATGCTGAGTGACGTAGATTTCCAGATTGGTTTGTACAATTAAGGACGTTCTATTCCTTTTCCATATGTGTAACTGTCGCCTAGTCTGTAAAGCCTAGTGACAGTTAACCATACGAACCTGCATTTGCCATAATTAACTTTCTTTGTAGGGGATGACAATTTTTATATAGACTACTTGTTGATTTGTGTGCGAATTTTGGACTGGATAGTATGTGATTATATTGTATACCGCCTCTAACCACTAACGTGTCTCCCCTTGTTGATGATCAAAAGTCAGAATTGCTGTCTTTTCATAGTAATTAGGCATCTACACAAAAGCTTCAACGTATAAATGATGCCTAATCACTTCAACTGTGTATACCATTATATATTAGTTTAATTTAATGAAAGCTGTATAACTGTGTGTGAATTTTGTGTCCTATGTACAACTTTTATTATCAGTATCTAAACATGGATAACTATTCTTTTTAACTAGTCTTATCTATATTTTCGCTATCTCATTTTAATTCAGCTCATTCTGTCCAAACTAACTGGGGTATCGGGTGATAAAATGGAGTTTTTGAAGCAAACTTATGCATTTTGGAAGCTTAAAAGAGAATTTAGGCGTGGTGTACCACTTTTGAAACGACTTCAAGCATGCTCCATACACAGAAGCGCAGCCAGTTTTGTAAGTTTCAATGTGATATTTTTTCGCTGAAGATATCCATTGTTAACATATTTTGAAGATTTCATTTCTCCAAATATTGACTAGAGCACAGATATATTCACTAATAAATATGCTTCAGATTATATATATATATGATGAAGATGCCTAGCCAATACCAAGAATCATCAGTCACCATCAGTGGAAGAAATCCACAAGAAGTCGCCTCTTTCACCTACCCAGGCAGCATCATTTCAACTACAGAAACTATAGGTGAAAGTCAAAGTTAGTCAGGATTGGAAAAGTAAGACAGACTTCAGTTGATGGGGAATCAACACTAATATGAAGTCAATGCTTTTATATTTTGGGGAGTCACAGAAAGCATTTTCAGAAGGCTGCAGACTTTCAGCAGCGATTACCTTCGCTTAATGTTGGAGACCAAATCGCCAGAAAGAATTAGTTAAAACAAACTCTGGTGAAGAATCGCCAAGAACCTATCGGCCAACAAATATGCAGATGAAATTGTGGGTCGATTCGCTGTACACTGTGGAGATTATTGAGTAACACTACACGCTAGACCCTCGACTGGGACGCAAATGGGAAATGACGAGTTGGGCATCCTAAGAGATCATGTGAGTAGAAGACGAAAACTTACTGGCAATCGTAGAACCATCTTAAAAGGACTCCAGACGACAGACTGAAATAGCTATATGCTACTGACACTGTGTGTTTCACTTGGAACCTCAGGATATTCCACTGATTTGGAGAGTAAGATAACTAAAAGAAGGTTAAAGTCAATCTTGTTGGCTGGTCTCATTTTAATGACGGCAAAACTCAATCACTCCATGTCTACCTTGCACGTAACTTACATTCCATAATAAATAGCATGTTAAGTAGCTACATAAACCGACACTCCTAAAATCGCATATTTGGCAACATGATCTTATCCTACTTACAAAGTTTCTCCTGTAATCCAAATTTGATTAGCCTGAGGATACTGTAATGTCAACAGTTTTCTCAGTAATATGTGCGTATTTCCGTGAATCAGTCGGGTACACTTTATAAAGATTTGAGTCAATTTCCCAGAAATAAAATGACATTACCTGTTATTATTTATTCCTTGGGCCTCAGCAGCACGTGTTTTTTGTACTTGGTTCTCTGACTTCACTTCCAACTGGTTTCACCATTGCTCACAAGCGTATATCTCCTCTTCGTTACATGATCTCTGTATCAACCTACCACTTCTAGCGCTTCGCTTCTCGTTCGGATTCTCCTGGAGGGCCTGGTGTGTGGTGTAACCAAGGTCTTTTCTGAGTATGTCTGAACTATCTCCATAGCAATAGATTATTGGCTGGTTCACTGCCGGAGTTTCTTGTTGCTTGTCGTTTCCGCTCGGTATTCAGTAGTTGTTGACTAAAGTCTACAGCAGGCTGTTTAAAACGTTCTTTAATCGCAAGCTAATTCGGTAAACCGTATCCTTAAAAGTAGAAAACTTCTGTCGTTTTATTCTGTGGATCTTGTTAAAAACATATGAATTGGTGATATCTTAGAGACTAGTCTGGACGGTTTTCAAATGACGTGAATGGAAATGCGAAGGTGTAGAAAATAAAAATGCAGTATGAAGTGATAATATTTCAAGGAGTGAAATCCAAATATGTTAAATTCACATTATCAAAGGTTTTCGTGTGCCAGGCTTTATGAGTCACACTTATTATATGAGGGCTGGTAATACTGCTTAGTTGTGCGGGCAGAAATAGTTGGAGTAGGTTTCGAACGCGTCACCCATCCACTGAGATTCGAGCTCCTAAACCAATGAGCCACAGTACCATTGTAAACAAATATAAACCTATTTTGCTTCGAATATATTTCTAAAGGACACTTAAAAAAACTTCGTGTCAACAGTCAGATGAATAGTTAGCAATTGTACCTACTATTGAAGATTTCCGAATTTCTGGGTGTTTTCGTTGTGTTGTTATGTCGTGCTTTTGAAATGAGAAGAGTGACTTTTTTGTACATCTAAGTTTTATGTTGTAGTGCATTCTCATGTGCTAGGTAGTTGCGGGAAGTCGACAGGATGTCCTTGACCTAGGCTTCCTGTTTCCTTCCTGTCACTTGTTAATATGGTGTTTGTATAACCTCAAGAGATATAATTATTCCTTGTCATCCTGTGCTACAACCAAAGATGTTAGTTTTGTGGTATTCGACCTCACAATTGACGTCCTATTGGACTGTAATGCAGGCGTTAATTGGTCATTAGAGTGTAATCTATGTTTCTAGTCCTGTATGTTGGTGCTGACTGAATTCCCAGTGAAAATAACCAGCAACAGAAAATGATGACTAGATGTATCTCATTTTATTATGGCATTTGCTTAGTATAGAATCTTCAGAGGTTTTCATCTTCTGGAGTAATATCTATTTTTTCCATAACAACATCTGCCAATGGTGTGGAATTTTCACTGTTCTACCAATGAAAAGCTAATTATTAAAATTGTTAACTATAAGTAACACTTTTGTGAATTGTACATTTCACTCTAAGGGATTAATTAATTAAGACATTAGTATCTAGTGTTCAATTAAAGTGCTTAAGTGTCTTCATTTTTTGCGTGATTATCTATAGGCTGTAGCAGCTACAACTGGTGATGCAGAATCTCAACGAATGAGAGCTCATTTAAAATTCTGGCAACAATTACGTCAAGATCTTGAAAAAGGACGTCTTCTGTCTGAGTTGACACGTAAACGTGAACGTATTAAACGTGATATATTTCGTTTATTTGTTCATGAAATTGAATTGAAAATTAAACCATTTGTAGTCTTTCAATTACGATTCATAGATCAACTTCAAGTAAGTTATCTTCTTTTTTTTGTTGGTTTCTTATTTCTGTCTACTCATCGTTTATTACCTGTTACATTTACGGACTAATTCAATTGATACTAAGACTTTAATCGTAACCACTGACTACTTTCAACTTAGTATCACGCCGTCTGTTGAAATCCTCTTATTCGCTTTAATAATGATAAGAGAGAGAGAAAGTTAAATGACAGTTCCGATTACCTGCTCGCAAGCTGTGGCTGTATACTGCGGCGAAATCGGATTTAAAGCAGTAGTGTTCGGTAGTAGGTAGTATCACTAACAACAAGTCATCGTACAACGTAATATATTTTATTCACTTATTCCCTTTGATTGACTATGTTGAACCGAAATGTTGGATCTGTGTTGACATGTGGCTCCTATTACATGGACTCTTTGACAATGTCTGAGGATTAATGTGAAGTTTTTTTTGATCCATTGATGACTGGCGGTGGAATCCACTCCAACATGATTAATCAACAAGAAATGCAAATTAATACAAAAATAACTAATAACTAATACCTGTTGAATAAGAGGTAGCTCTCGTGATTTAATGGATAATAGCTTGATGCTTAAAGCAATAGGTGCAGTGTTTGAGTCTCAGCGAGAACACCATCACTCATTTCGGAATGCAGGTACATCTACTAGTTGACGAGTCTTAAATAGGAAGAAAAGCGCATCCTGTATCCCACTGCTAGTCACCATGAACCATAGTAAGTTTCAGAATGACTGTAAATTTTAAAGTAAAAGTTACTCCAGTAATCATTAGTAACTGGTTATGACATGAACTTCCTGGGTTCATATTTAAAAGTTGTGACCAGTGGGGTCTACTATATCAGGTGTGGAGACAGATACTCACTGATGGAATTGGATAGCTGTGGCATTATAAGTCGCCAATCGACAGAAGTTATAGTTCAAAAGTCATATGATTTCATTCAGTCTGATGGTTAGAGGGTCAATAGACATGCCTTGTTGTCTGGTAGTTCGGGATTAGATCTCTAGTGACTCCCGAAAGGATGGAATAGCTCTCTATCTCTCCCTGGTTTTCAACAGTTCTGTAACATGTCTGTTTGTGACAATATTCAACTTGAAATCAATCAAATTCCTACAAGCCGGAACTTGAAAATTATTTTTCTATCTGTATGTAAAACATGCAAACGGTAAATGTTACAACTTCTTGAAAACTACTTTATTCTTCATGGCATGGTTCATTGAACTTTGTTCACGCTGTGTTTTAAAAGTGAAGTAATGTATACTTCATGGGAAAAAATCAACTAAAAGATAATGACTGACTACAAGATAAAGTCGTGACTAGTGGGGTTCACCAGAGTGTGAGGACCAATACTCGCCAATGACATTGCCCAGCGGTCGCTCTATATATCGTAAATCGGCTAAAGTTAGAGCTGATGAACCATTAAATTACGTCTCAGTGGCTAAATAGTCAATGGGGACTCGCCTTATAACATGGAGTTCCTAGACTCGATCCCTGGTGAGGTAATTGATGAGTACTTCTGAAGAATCCCCAAAAAAGGACGGGATAACATTCTGGTACACCCTAATTTTCAATTATTCTCTAACTGAATTCAGTTCGTCATCAATCTTGAAACAGAAAAGACATTAACACAGAGAAAGATTGACTTACTGCTTACAAGTGAACTGTTCAGACTCCTCAGTAATACAGGAGCTTACTTTTATCCACGCAAATTATCATTCATCTCCAATTTATTAGTTAACAAAGGTAGTTCCATGTGCATTAGTCAGTATATGTTGGCTATATTTCATCTAATTTTTATTTCGTCAGTTAGTTATGATAACCAATACCACTTAGTGGCACATAATCTGTTTTACACTTGATAATGTATTCGTTTGTTTTTCTTCTTCTTTTGCAAAGGCATTGGATATTAATGAATTTTTCTCTGAGCCTGTTCAACCAAGTTTAGCACCAGATTATGCCTTGATTATTAAAAAGCCTATGGATTTCTCAACAATACGTAAAAAGATAGAAAATTTTGAATATTCTACATTGGAGGCGTTATTATCCGATTTTAATTTAATGCTAGACAATTGTTTTGAATATAACCTAGAGAACAGTATTTATTATTCAGCTGCTTTAAAAATGCGTGAACAGGTAAGTGAGGTAAACTTTTTGTTTGTTGTTCTTTTATTTTGATTTGACAGTAATGAGAATAATGATAATGGTTATGCGTTTACTCCTAACGCTATCGAGATTTCAATGTTTTACTGACTGGTTTCAGCGTAGAGCTATGCATAGATGTGCAGCGGTTCGAGTTGCCACACTTCATGTAGCACACAAAGCAAGAAAATAGATTAAAGATATATAATAAACAGAGATATGAGGTAAAAAGAATAGTAATATGGAAGAACAGTAGAATTTTATTGGATATTATAAATCACAAGGAGTGGATATATCTGTGCCATTGAGAACGATTTTGAGTCATATAACCGATTGTCTCCAGCCACTGGGTTTTACCATGCCGAGGATCCCAACCAGGAAGTCTACACCTCCCTATGTGGCTGGCGTAAACTTTTGCATTTCATTGACTGATGAAGCCATGTTTTAGTTTGACCACCACTAGCTCTTCCAACCTGATACCATGCCAACTAACCTTGTTTGTTGAGAAAAACGATGGGTAGGCATGGGTGTTACACGTGTCCTAACCATCTCAATCAGTGGAACTTCACAACTTCGTCGATTGATTTCCCCTCCTTGCCTAGCACTTGGCCAATGCCTAACCTCAATATTGCTCACTTTAATATACCACTTAACACGGGAGATAGAACGCGGACATCTGCAATCAAAGACAACTAGTCGGCATTTTAATTTCTTCCACTTTCAATGGTCATGTCTTTTGGCCAGCCATAAAGGAGGATAGAGCTAACTACTGAGCAGTATACACGCTGTTTAGTCGACAGCCAGCCGGATATCACGTCTACTAAGCCAGAGATGGCGTAAGTTGGCGTATGCGAAACTAGCCTTCTGTATCCGTGCTGAGATTTCGTCAGCGATCAATGACACTGGCTGATGCAATTTCCCAAGTAAGTGAAGTGATCAACATGTTCCACCACTTGCTCTCTATGTTTAAGCTAGCAGTCAACGTAGTCCAGTCCTGTAGCATCATCTTACATTTGACAACAGGAGAGAATCTCATGTCAAACATTTGAATATTTCTCCTCAAGGTGTTCAGATGACTGCATTTTGTCAGCGTCTTCACCTAGAAGGACTATATCATCTGCATATTCTAATTCAACGAGATTATTCCCTGGTAGCAAGTCAACCCCTGAGTCTCTGAAGTCATTTAGGGTTAATTCCATTGGTAAAATATCTATGATGAAATTAAAGAGAAATGGGGACAGGGGGCATCCCTGACGGACACCACTATTATTCGGTGTGTTAACAATTGTATAAAGTTGTTAGTTATTTCCCTAAGCGATATTTCTATTATGGTTAATCGCATCTGCTAATAAAAACTAAAAAATTTGCGCCATTGAATTTTGTCCCATTGTCTGAATAAACAACTAGCTTGCTCCGAGACCTCAAGGTCATGGGTTTCGGTTCCCGTTGGGGTAGTGGGTGTTCATTGATGTAGAGTCCCAAATCAGGGTGAAACAGCTATCCAATAGTTTTCTAACTGATATCTGCTCATGATGAAATTCAGCTTGTAAAATATCTAAGGGGTGAAGTTTTTCTCTTATATCAGATTTTACGAAACTATTTATGTAATTTTGCGGCTTTGTCTCCTAGGAATATTTCAATATTATTTATTCACATCTATCATAGTCGAGCTGCTATACTCTTATTTTTATACATGGGAAGTGTTGGAAGTGTGTATATTATTGGTTTAGAGACTTCTTTTTAAATTCATGTTTTGTAAATTCATACCGACTTCTACACAATTTAACTTGAACTATCAGATGATATCGTAATCACTCATGCTTTGAATAGGTTTCATAGCGTAGTACACAAAAGGTATCATAAAATACTAACAATCCTACCTACAGATATTTGAGGAATCATTTACTGGTTACTATTAGTGCACCAACAGTAAATGTGGCTGACTGACTGATTAGTTCTTAAATTTTAATACACAATTGCTGTCTTGTACTTGTTCATGAATTTGATAGTCTTCAGTGGAATTATCAGCTTGTGAGTTGGTGCATGAGTACACTTTTAAACGAAAACATAACAATCTTTTTCTTACCTTAATTTGTTTTCTAACTGGTATTCTCACTTATAAAACGCCTAAGCTATCCATAAAGAATCATCGTTAAAAGTATCCCTGTAACAAAGATAAATTCTCCTGTTCAATTCTTATTATCAACCGAATTGTTTGGATATCTTTATTTTAAGCTTACTAGGCAGAAAAATTATTGTCATTGTACTACATTACATATAAGCGAAACTAAACTGAATTGTCAATGTAGAACTCTGCTTAACAAGTACAGCAGTTTAAATTGTCGCATTTCACGAAAGCAACATATAAAGGCAGGAATAGGAAAAAAAGAAATGTCAGGAAACCACGATAAACAGGAGTGTGCCACTGGAAGAATGATTACATGAAGAATAGTTAGAATTGAAGGGATCTCTATATTACAAAAAGAGAATGCATCTGTGCCAATGACAACGATCTTGGGCAGTTTCACCAACAGTCCCTACCCAGTGTTTCTCGGAGTCTCAAAGAACCCAACCAGGTAGCGTATACCTTCCTACGTGGTTCAAGACTTCATGGATCGACACCAAGCTTTCATTTGACCACTTATATCAGCCAGCATTACTCATCGGGGAACGCGATTGCGAGGCATATGCAATACTCATCCTAGCTATCTCATTATTGATAATAATAATAGTAGCTTTATTCTGGACAAAATGTATTTACACAGTGCACAGAATTCCCAGCATAATTTATTGCTCAATATTTTCTCCTCATCCAAGATCCTCAAGTAAAGTAGGAATTTATTGCATGTCATATTATAGTGTCACGACAGAAGACAAGAGCCATGCAACAGATTGTTTATTGAGAAAATCAAGAGATATTTATAGATTTTTATGTACATTATTATTAGCTTTATTGTTAGCAGAGAAGAAACTTCTTCTGATTGGTTGCTTTCTTGCTTAAGGTTATTCTGTACTGCTTGTGACCGTTTCTAAGAAAGTTAAGCCATATATTTGCGAATCGTATTTGCTCACGTTAAGTCTTCTGTGATTGGTTGGTGAGTTCCTCAAGGTTAAGCCTTGTTATCGCTTTTCTCATGACCCTGATTCCGGGTGTAACACTGACGTAAATTGTTGTTTACAATTCTGGCTTGTTCGCAGCCAACTCTCACCACAATAACATACGAATCCCTTATGATATATTTCCCTCGTCTTCGGAAAATGCACCAATATTTTGAATGGCAATTAAAATTATGCGTGAACACATTTTAGGACTCAAGAGACATGACTGAATGGTTGATACAAGAATTAGGGCAGATATGATGCGTTGTGTTGGAGGGAAATTCAAGTAACCCAGTGATTCAAGCAGGTCACCAAGGTAGATATAGCTTCATAACTTCATCGATTGACCTCTCCGCCTTATGTAACACTACAACTAACCTGGTTGTTACTGACTGTATTATATTATCCAATGTGGGAGATTGTGCTCAGACGTTTGTGGTTCAGCTAAGTTCTTCACTTAGTTTTGGTCTTGTAATTAGAGGTGATGACCAAAAGGAGGACATTAACAGCAGTAGTACTGTAGCCATAATCTCACATTAGTTATCACTAGATTTGTACTAATATACATTTTCGTTGTGTTTTCACCAGTACCTTATATGGTTTAGCTAATGCATCGTTAATTTATTCATATTCGTTACTTAAACAGTGTACGTCCGTTTACCGTACGTTAGAAATCTTCTGGAGTACAGTAGTAAGGTATTTCCCTTCTAAAAGCCAGCAATGCTGCAACCGCAGGAATGGTCCACCCTAACTTTTTGGTCGTCCATACCCGACAGAAAGATCTTCATACACACACACGACTCCAATAACCACTTCAAACAGGCTGTATTTGACTAGCTTCGAGCAGCCTTGCAGTCACACAACACTGATGCTCTTTCTGCTTCTGGTAATGTAGGAAGAAGTTGTATATATATATATATATATATATATATATATATATACAACTAATTGAACTTGAAGTAAGAAATGAAAACCTGGTTAGTATGTATTTGCATCTTAAATAAGTTACCTTTAAATCAGTTCAACTGATCATATGATCAATTGGCATTTAGGTCCTATACTATTGTATGCCATACCCAATATCTTTCTACTCAAGTATGTAGAAATCAAATGCTTAATCATTTTTACCACCTTTCCTAAGCGAAGGAAAAGGAGAGATAAGCAGGGATTTATTTCCTTTTTTACTGTTGTTTTTTCTTTGTTCCTTTAGAGTAAACCAATTATCTCTGTAGCCTTGGCAACTGCGAAGCAGATCAATTTCTGTCCTAAAACTGGATTTCTTCTAGAAAATGTGCCTGTAAAAAGTGATGAAATTGTAGAACAACAGGCTTCTTCTCATCATCAGGATAATATTGAAAATACATCGAAAACAAATGAGAATTGTATACAGTCTATGCCTTTAACTAATGAAGACAGCAATTATGATAATTATGAAAAAAGACCAACAAATTCTCCGATATTATTTCATTTATCATCATCACGTCGATCTGCTAAGGGTACGTTAACAAACGAACGATTGCATAGTCCATTAAAAGAATTAGTTAATTGTGATCAAACCTCTTCACTCCCGAGTAGTATACGTAGTCGACTGAGAAGTTTTAATTCACCACCGACAACTCCATCACCAATCTCAACTATACCACCGACTACGACATCACATCATGCATCACCACTGCCTATTACAGAAAATGGAAATTCACTGTGTACATCACCTCCTAATTCAGCAAAAAGTTTGAATTCACCCATTATACCTCGTAAACGTCGGTATGTTCAGTATGTATGTTTCCTTTCTTATTTATCTTTCAAATAATTTTCTGACTATGAAAGCATTTACTGTTCAATATCTATGAAACCATCTTCAAAGTTTATACTATCATATTTATATTGATTAAAAACCATATAGTAGTTTATTATCGAGTAACGGCGAATTATGTTAAATAATTGGCACAGTTACTCAGAAATGGTTTCTAAGGATAAGAGGAAATTGCATAATAACAATCAATGATACAATGGAAGTAAGGATTCGAAATTAAATAATGTGCGGACTTTTACCGCATAAGAAGCGGAGTGATTTAGTATTAAATTTCTATACTTATGTATGGCGAAGGTACTAATTGTTCGTCAATACAACCCAGAAATCTGTAAGCGGAAAAAGTTTATTAAGTCTTCTATCCTATCATGATTTGGAACACCTTTTTACTTGTTTGTGCCTAGTTTTAGTAAGTTATTATGTATTATAACTCTTATATGTCTTTTGTGTATATTCTACTGGGGTTTTTCTCACCATTCACATTTACCAGGTGGGGACACTCAGCTGCCTAGCTTCTCACTTAACAACAATTTTTATCTTATCAGATTCCAGTCTTACTTCCATCATGTCGTTGGTTATTAGATAATATCCACCTATCTTTAGAGACCACTTCTGAATAACTGCTTTTTATGGTGAATGGGAGTCGACATTAGCAAAGTGGAACTGTGACAGTTGATTTCCATCTGGGAATTTATTTATAAGTTCGAAATCCTTTTCAATTTACCGAAGTTTAGACACCTAAGTAGTATCTTCCACCAACTGTGAAACAGTATATGTAGATCATTGCCTCAATCATGAGAAACCATTTGCTGATTGATAAGTATGGTCGTCGTCTTTTCAGTCGTCGACACAATGTCTTTATTCGTTAGAAAAAGCATATATTGGATTCATTTCAAGTTTTATTACGAAGTGACTTCAACTGAAGAGCTAGTTCATGATCAAACTTAAAATCAATCAAATCCCTTGCAAATCAACGCTTGAAACGCAACCTAGTGCTCGGCAGTGGCGGACTACAGGATGAAATTGTCCTATGTTCTAGAGGGAAGTCGTAAACAGTGGTGATCACCAAGTTGGGTGTTAGGACAGACAATCACCACTGATACTGGCTAGTAGTCAGGTTATGTATCATGAATAGAGGCAGGAGTTAGAATTGACAGGTCATTAGATTATGTCCCAGTGACTGAATGGCCAACTAGCTCTCTTCACAACCTAAAGGTCTTGAATTCAATCCCAGGTGGGGTGCGTGCTTCCGAAGAGTGCTAAACGAGGACGAGGAAGCTGTTCACCACTGCCTAGTTTTCAATGATTCTCTAACTCAACAAACTTGAAGTCAGCCAAAAATCATACGGATCATTTTGTGAAACGTCATTATCCACTTTCTTAAAAGTGCCCATTAACAGTATTTTTTGTTGAAAACTGTAAATTGTTTTTTTGACAGTACTAGAATTATTATATACTTCTTAGACATTTTTTCCGTGTGAAAATGCTGTACTCGGTTTTATAACGAAATCACAACTGAAAGTAAACAGCATGTTCCTAAGTCATCATTCAAAAGACAGGATTATGAGTGAACTAGTATTTATATACATTTCTTCTAGTATATTTAAATAGCCTTGCAACATATCGTTTACCTTCAGTCTGAACTTGCTATCCTCCTCTTTTGTCTTAAGGTTGTTGAAATAGTTAAACGCATAGACAACTCACGACTAGAATTTTAAATGCTTTATTCAGTGTGCCAATTAGATTTGTACTTTTAATTTTAGAAGGTTATTTTGGCTATTTGATTTTTTTCCACCCATTTAAGTGCGGTTGTGTACACTCAGGCATAATTAAATGTCAAACAGATACTCCAGAAAATCTCTACCATTTTTCACCAAACGTTATCTGTAATGTTCGTGGGATTTGATCTCCACATCTATCAGGTGTCGCAATTTCTCTAGCCAAAAACAAGTCCTTGTTTGGAATTTAATAGGCTGAAATTCACTTGAACGTCTTTGGAACTCTGGAGATCCTTCTGATTTAGATAAATGTGATTCTGTTATTTAGAGAGGTATTGTAAAAACATTCTAACTATTAATTAATTAACTAATTAATTGTTCTTTTATTTTCCGTTTGATGCTTATCTTAGTTATTCTTCAGCTAGCAATGATAAAAAACTCCCACTTTCGCCCAGTTTACATAATGGAGATGGTCGAAAGTCTACGAAAATGGCACGATTACAGTTACATTCACCTGGGAATACTTTTGCACAAGCTTATGCTAATTCAACAAATTGTTTTGAAAATTTAATTAGATCAAGTAAAACTAATGAATCAGTTAATTGTAAATGGAATCATTCAACAGCTGACAATTCTAATTGTTTATTAACTCGTCAAGTTGGCATAAATAAACCTACAAATGAAATGAATGGATTAATCAGTTCACGTGATGGGCCAGCATTTACACGTTATCGAATTGGTCGTTTATCACGTGGTGATGATGAAGATGAAGATGATGATAGTGAAGAGACTGATGAGGATGAAAGTGATGATGCATGTGTCACATATTCCAATACGCCTACATCAGCTGTTAATTCTCATCAGGAGTGTGATCGTTCTCACTACAGACAACAACGTTTAAAACAGGATAGTAGTATAGAGACTGAATCTGCCGTTGCAAAATCACACGTTCCTGGCGCAACAGTCGTCACTACTGCTGTAGTTGGTTCAAGTCGAATGGCTTTTGCGCATAAACGTTCTACTATCAGTCGTCTAGTAAGTCCCGTGTATCGAAAACGCTGGAGTTTCACAGTAATTATTGTAGAGTTTTTTCATGCGTATTGGTGGAATATAAAGGTTTATAATTTTACTTTTAAACAGTCAGGTGTAAAGGTGGTTGTAAGGTTGAATCAAATTTTTCTTTTAATTTATGCACCCTTTCTTATTACTCATTCCCTAATTTCTGAGAGGAACTTAAAGCTTCAGCAGCATATCGTCATTGCACTGGGTTTCGTGCAGTCACTTTCAGCTGTCTGCACGACTGTCCACAAGCTTTCATTCCGTCTTCACACGATCTTCTCCATGCCCCACTCCATGACGCCCAACTCTCCGCTTCCCATTCGGGCTTCACTTATGGATCTGCCTGGTGTGTGATGTCACTTGGAAGCCTCTTCACGTATGCCCAATTCATCTTCAATTTCTTCGGCATGGTTGTTCGGTAGTAGGTCATTGGTTGACTCGTTGCCAGCTACTCATAATATTATTATATTTTGTCTTCATCAAGTTCAGATGAGGATATCTATTAAAATAAACCTAATGGTTGCTGGTATAGTACTGTTGTTCACAAGTCATTTTTGGGTTGAAGAAGTGAGTCAGAATATTGACACATAGTCACTGTAGTTTGCTCCAAAAGGATACTTGTAAATAATGAAGACATTAAACGAAACCATTAATTTGTTTGAAATGCTTACATTTTCTAACTCCTCAGTAAATGTGTAGTTGTGTAATCCAAAGTTTTATCTAAAGAAATCCAAACAGCGTCTTTTTTTAAATCTAATGAATAATGAGAAAATTATAGTACCTTGACCAGACAAGGGTTTCCAGATCGTTATAGTGAACGAAAAGTTCGTGTGTGATTTGCTAGCTTACATCATTTTTGGCGTAGACGGGATATCCTTTTATCGATATTGTGTAGCAATCCTCTCTGTTCTCCTTTATGGACACGAGACATGGCCATTGGAAATGAAAGATATGAAGAGACTAGTTATCCTTGACCATGTGTTTGGGTTCTATCTCTCCTGTTAAGTGGTATGGTTTGATCAGCGATATTGAGGTTAGACACTGTGTTTGGCAGAGAGGAAATATCAATCAACGAGATTGTGAAGCTGTATATATTTGGGTGGCTAAGACACATGTTACGCAAATCTACACCCTCTCTGTCAACTAATGTTAGCTGACATAGGATGATTTGGTTGAAAAAGAGTTAGAGGTGGTCAGATCAAAACGTGGTATCACTCCACGTTAAAGCTTATTTCTTGAGACTGTTGGTAACATGGCTTAAAACCGTTCCTGATGGCACAGATGGATTCACTGTTCATGAACTCCCAGATTTATTAAATTCTCATTATTCTCTATTTCCTTTTATTTCCGCTGTACATTTCCTTTGCATTATTCTTCTCTACATTTGTATGCTTTATAAGGTGTAACCATTTGAACTGGTGCACTTTTGTGAGAGGTTTCGCTCTTAAAACTCTGTTGGTCAGTATAATCAATATAAATTCAAGTCATTTCTGATTGATTCATCACGATTTGTATTGGATAGCACGAAGAAGGATGTGACAAAAGAAACTAATAAACAGTTCAACCTTTAATGACCTAAGAACACGATGTTCGCATCTGCTATCAATGTTTGGTTTCCCAATGATACATAAATCTAATTTTCTAATGAGATCTATATTATCTATGTTTAATTTGTCATTCCGTAAGATTACTTCGTGGTTAGGTTCACAGTCAGAGATGCCGATTTGTGAAAAGCTCGTAATACATCTCTTGAAAGACAGCTTCTACTTATTTGAGAAGTTAGCAAATCTAAACGTTTCCAGCAAATTCATTGTTATTATTAGGTGTACTTTCATTATTTACAAATATCCTTTTTGGAAAAGCTGTTTCTCTGTGTTTGATCTGATTTTGTATATCTCCCAACTGCTTAACTCGTTGGTTGGTGAGTCGTATATAAATTTAAGTCATTTGAGCTAGCTTAAATCTACTACTATCCATTCCTGCTCATGATGAATATGAACCTCTTTTACCTACCTGGGAAGCATCGTTTCAACTACAGGCGGAACTGACAAGGATATCAAAGCGAGAATCGGAAAAGCAAGATAAGCTTTCACTACTCTCAAGTCTGTGTGGAGGTCAACAGCATTCAGCATGAAAAACAAGATCCGGATTTTCAACTCCAATGTGAAGTCAGTGCTACTATACGGATCAGAGACTTGGTGCGTCATAAAGGGCATCTCAAACAAACTACAGACCTTCATTAACAGTTGTCTTCACTCAATACTCAAGATCAGATGGCCGGCCAGAAAAGATCAGCAACAGGGATCTCTGGGAGCAAACCAACCAAGAACCGATTGTGAAACAAATAGGCAGGAAGAAATGGAGATGGATAGGCCATACTCTTAGGAAACCATCAAGTGACATCACTAGACAAGCCATTGTTCGAGTGGAACCCGAAAGGGAAGCGGCGAGTTGGTCGTCAGTGCAAGGGTGACTTGGAGGAGGTCATGTGAAGAGGAGATGAAAGCCTGTGGGCAGACATGGAGCCAGGTGAAGACTCTAGCAGAGAACCGAACTCAATGGAGACGCACGGCTGAAGCCCTATGTTCCTCTAGGAATTAAAAGATACAGTAATAATAATATAATAATCTTGCATTGTGGAGTTCTAGGTAAACAGGGAATGTTTGCTACTTCGTTCTTTATTTATTTATTTGTTTTTTATTCCTTTATGTTCCCAGTGGAACATAGAGCTTCAAGTTAGAGGCTTGAAGTTTAGGTAGCAGTAGTTTTAATTTCTACGGGATGGGGTTGCTAACCTAATGCCCAACCTTCCCTCTTTACCAGTCTTATAACTAGCTTAGTGAAGTAAAGGAGTGCGTCGGCCGGGGATCGAACCCCGGACTACCTGCGTGGTTGGTGGTCATTCAACTGTTAAACCATCGACACACACTTCGCTCTGTGCAAGCTGTTTTTGATCATAATGAATGTCGTATAAAATCAAAGCTATGTAACTTCAGAAAAGTGAAAATTAAAACGGATAATCGAGATTTATGGCTTTTTAAGGTGTTGTATTACAATGCTTTAACCTCTCTGACCTTAAATCTTACTAGGTTATTCTAACAACAACGGAAAAAGACTTAATTAAACCTGCTACTGATGTGTTGGATCGGAAAGTGGCCTTATTATTCTTTGACTGACTAGGGAACAACAACTTTTTTTTCAAAGTACTTTTCAGACTATTTTTGAAATGGTGTAAAAAGTTTTCGTCACTCAGGATGTAGAGATTTTGTTGGGGGGAGATTTTTCCAGCTGATAGCTTTTTTATTATAGCTTGAAACCACACAGTATTTTCGCTACAAGTATGGAATTTTCAGCATGTGATTTCGGTAGCCCAAATTTTACAGGCCAACCATAGATATCTGGTGTGCGTCGGCAGGCGATTGAACCCCGGACCATGTGCATGGTCGGCGAGAGTCCTAACCGCGGTGCCACCGACTCTTTCTTGACTGCTTCGCTCTCTGTGAAGACGTAGCTCATTGGTTTAAGCATTTGTTCGAATCTCATATCAGTTAATGAGATTGTAAATGTGAATCGATTGACATAACTAGGGCACGTGTTGCGCATGTCCAGCCATCGTCTTTCTCGACAGGCAATGTTAGCCGACATAGGATTACGTTGGAAAAGAGTTATTAGTGGCCAGACTAAAGCCTAGTATCAGTCCGTGAAGTGTTTGACTATTGGTGTGAACCACGCAGGAAGGTGTACACTGTCTGGTTGGAGTCCTCGGGATACTAAGAATTAATGGCTACAGACTATTGGTGGTTCAAACTTGTTATCATTAGCGTAGATGCACTCACATATCAACTAAACCTTCGTGTTTTCCTTATGTTATTATTCTTTCTCCAGCACATTTCTGCTTATTTTAATTACCTGTCTTAATGTTGTACTGCGCGGTAATTCTATCTGTCCTTCTTTATAGCTGCTCATTATAGTCTTTTTCCTACCTATATAGGCTAACTGGAGTGTGGCAACTTGAACTGCTGTACTTTTGTGCTAAGCACTATATTGAAACTCAGTCAGTCAGTCCACCTACTTCAGCTCAGGTAACTGGGTAGTAGTATCGTCAGACGCTACACATTATGTGGAGCTTGTATCCCCGTACTGGGTAACTCAATTCTAACTGAATATTCTCTTCTGTGAAATTTTGTAATTAGACACTGCAGGCTTGTTTAAGCAAAAATTTCAGTGTTTAATGTTTCACGAAGCTAGACCAAAGGTCTTATATATATATATATATATATATATATATACCAATCAAATGAGGGGGGCACTTTTGGATTTGGATCATTATTATAGCTTGATTCCACACAGTATCTTTGGTGCAACTATGGAATTTCCAGCATGTGATATTGGTAGCCCAAATTTAGCAGGCCGACCATTGATATCAGGTGTGCTTCGGCCGGGGATTGAACCCCGGACCATGTGCATGGTCAGCGAGCGTCTTAACCGCCGTACCATTGATGTTTATCAAAAGATGCATAAAAGCTGTATAGAAGTGTTACAGAGGATACCTTTCTCTTATATGTGGTAAAAATATCTCTCAGTTTAGCACAGGAGTACCAACGGAAAAGTTACACATCCTATACATATATTCATCTAAATGACTATAAATGACATTCTTTTGAGATCCAATAATGGCTCTTATTCTGTTTTTTAACCTTCCCCAAAAGCCTTCTATAGAATTGGTAAGTGTCCCTGTAATGGGATCCACAAAATCATTAGAATGGTTGATTCTGTGGTGAATATATTCAAGGGATGACAAGGAGTTATAACCTCTCCACTCATCTGTGTGCATCACAGATCCTTGTTTCACCAGTAGAGTAATAATAGGTAATAAAGTAATTGACTTCTCTGTGCTATCCTGTCGACGAATCCTTTCCGTAGAAATGTATCATATAAACCAGTCAACCAAATATTATTCGCTCTTCCTCGACCACGGTTGTATTTTTTCTTTGATAAGACAGCTTCATCTACATGTATGACGATACCTCCTTCCAATAAGGAAGTAAGGCTCTCTCCATTTTCCAGGATGTGATATCCCTGCAGTGCTGGTACCACTGAAATGTTGATACGAGACTATTTTCACTTTCAGCAGTTACACTTTTCACAGGCTGTTTAAAATCCTGTGGATACAAATATACAAAGTTTGGGTTAAGGAAAGATAGGATCTGGCGAAAAATGTTCCTTAGGAACATCAGCAAACGCAACTATATTACAACACCTATTTAACTTGAATCAAGAAGAATAGAAGCTTCAACTCACATGGGTGAAACTCATTGGGCCATTCAAGGTCAGTGATGCGGACGCCATCCATTGGTAGTGATTGGTGCTTACAGTTTAACTTGGCCCATTTTTAGTATTATTAGTATACATTAGATCATAGGAAATATTAAAACAACGGTTGCAGCGAAGAAAATTTTCTTGACAATGAAGTCAACAAGTAAGCTGTGCATTGGTGTGTTTATGGTAAAATTGATTGCACAAAAAAGTTAGATTTTTTTCAATGATTGTGATCCTTCTATGTTTTAATCTGATCTTCCTGTTGATTGTTACATTTTAAACTCTGTTTGCAATTTTATTATTTCGATCCTTGATTGGAAATAGTTTTGAAACTTTCTCACCCATTCGCTATAAATACACGAATGTACACCCTAGTTGATGACTTCGTGGAAAAGAAAATTCTCATCGTGCAACGCTCTTTTTATTATTTTTATTTATTATTATAACTACACCTATTATACAACTAATCCGGTGAGAATAAGTAGAAACTTTTAAAGGATACAGAGCAATATTAACTACGAAGTCGGGTTATTTTAAACAAAATGGTTATAGAATTTTACAGATTACAAATTTGTACATCATGACAAGAAAACAAGACTTAAGGTCATAAAAGTTAGAACACGACAAACCAATAGCCTCAAATCAAAGTCGCCTGTTTAAATCACTCGGTTAATAAATTTCCTGTCGAAAATAATAATGACGAACACAATATTCAGCGAAGAGACTCTTTACAACGGATTTATTATCAAGCTGTACAATCGTATACATATGATTTCTAAGAAATTATATCCGGTGAGAGAATTAGGTCAAAAGTGTGTACAAAAGAAGTATGTATAATCCCTACTTCTGCCTTAGCCGTAGAGGGATAGACATTTATTTATTTTGTTTATTTAGTTATTCTATGTGCTTTTCCCTTATTACTACGATTATTATTATTCTCACTCTGAATCTTTTCCACTTGACCCACTTGTCATTTTAAACCCAAAATTATTAATTTTTATTTTTACAATATTGAATTCTCTCTTATCAAATTTCACACGATGTTATGTAACATTTTATATTTGTCTACTAATTCTATAATTATGTACCCCTTTCCAAAATCTATACACCTTATGTATTATTCTGTATATGACATTAATTATTTTGCCACTTGACATTAAACTATGATTATAATCACAAATATTTTAATTGCATTTCATACTATTATTATTTCATGTATTCACACTTTTGACCTAATCCCCCCACCGGATATAGTTTCTTAAAAATCATGTATATACGATTGTAAAACTTGATGCACAGGACAATAAAGAAATCACGTCAGCCGTATTTTCCCCTTTTTTTATAATGTAGTCAGTGAAATTTTATTCACTTTGCAGAAATACAGAAAATTTTAACTTTCAAGAGATATTATTATTATTAAGAACACAATATTCAGCGAAGAGACTCTTTTCAACGAATTTATTATCAAGCTGTTGTTAATGACATCAATTTATTCACTGCAGAACCTGATGATGAAGCTATCGAAAAGAATATTCTTTATTCAGTAACCTTGCTTTTGAAAAATTCAAAAGAACTACAGTAAGCAGAAATTTAGAAGAGAAAGAATAGTAGTACCATAGAATATTGTGAGGAAGTTACAAACAGTGAATGCTTCTGCACCACTGAGAACGATTTTGAACCATCTTTCTAAAAGTTGCAAGTCATTGATTCTTAGCTTCTCTATGACACTCCCGCCAGTCAGCCTACACCTGCTTATATGGCTCAAAACAACAGTTAAAGACTTCATGAATTGATTACAGGTTTTGATTTGACCAAGCCTAACTTCTGAACCGGAGGCCTGTATCCTAGTTGGAACACATGGAACAAACAACCATTATAATAATAAATAGTGTCTTGTTTAAATATGTTCCAACTCATGATCGGTTTGCTCTTTTTTAGGAGGCGAAAACAACAGACTGGATTTCAGACAATGCTTCAGATCGATTAAATGACATACTACTTATTATTATTTCACTTTTAAACTTCTTCACAAATGAGTATTTTGCAATAAAATACACTGGGAATTTTGTGCTGTATGCAAAATATTGTGTAGGACAAAATTGTACAATTAATATTATTATTATTATTGTTCCCTTGGGTTCCTAGTGGAACATAGGGCTTCAACTACACGTCTCCACTTGCTTCTGTCTTCTGCTATACTTTTCACCTGCGTCCATGTTAATCCATACTGTTTCAGCTGCTCTTCACACGATCTCCTCCATGTCACCCTTGGACGTCCCACTCGCCGCTTCCCTTTCGGGTTCCACTCGAGCACTGGCCTGACGCGCGATGTCACCCAGCGGCCTCTTCAGCGAGTGTCCAATCCATCTCCACTTTCTCCTGCATATTTGTTGGGCAATTGGTTCTTGCTTTGTTTGTTCCCATAGTTTCTTGTTGGTGATTCTTTCCGGCCATCTGATCTTCAGTATAGAGCGAAGAAAGTTGTTGATAAAGGTCTGCAACCTGTTGGAAATATTCTTTGTACAATTAATACTGCTAATTAAACAACCCTTTAAATTACTGTTAGCCTTATATTTCTAAGAAGTATCAATATTAAGCCGAACATTTTACTTTTACAGTGAAGTCGAAGAAAATTATCCCCTATTTTTGTAGGATATATATGGTTAAGTCTAAATAATCATGTACTTGTGGTCATCAGATAATTGTATTATATTATGTTTATTTACCATTGATTGGAATTTTAGATGGTGTTCACCAAACACAAAAATGTATGCTGATGTAGGATGGTTCGTGAACCTATAAGCCACAAGACTGTCTACGTTAAGTTTTTTTCTGAATATCGAAAATGTCTTCTAGTGCACTTCACTGTATGTCTCTCATGTGTTTCTCATTAGTAGAACTGTAAAAACGACATTTATTGCTAAGTTTAACCATTTTTACTTGCATTTGTTTAATTACTTTTTAAAAGCTTTGCATTTAAAGGAATTTCTTTCCATTATTTAGAAATCTGTTTATCGGTTCAAAGCAAAGCAAGCCTCTGTAAATATCAGAAAAAATAAGCCTAAAAAGCAACACAGATCATCACTGACAAAAACACTGAACAGTGACGAACTCAGTAATGATAGTGCTGCACAAACTAATATACCACCATCTTCATCACCAATTCCTTCGCCTGATTCTCATATCATATCAAATTCGGACACATTGTTCACAAAATTTCTTCCAAAGCTTGGTATAAAGCAAAATAATATCCGACAGGACAGTATTCAACCAGTTACTAATTTAAATCATACTAATTCACCTTTACATAATGAATCTAATACTGAAACAAATTGCTCCACAGACGCATTATCCATTTATTCGAATAATAATTCCAAAATGATACGAAGTCCTTTGTCACGTGTCTCATCACGTGGTAGTATTGGAGATGATACATTTTCTGAACATCGATTCAGTCCTTTAGATATCGTTTGGGCGAAATGCTTGGGATCACCATGGTATCCTGCTATAGTAAGTTTAAAAATAGACAATATGATCCTGTTTTTTCTCTCATTGTTTTGCCTTGCGTTTACTTTTATAGACATTGTCTGGCATCTCTACTTTCTCGTATATTTGTCTGAGACAGTAAAACTTGTAAGAACTGGATAAAAATGGAACAAACCAACGTAGCATGTTGCACAAAAATGTACATCACTTTACTTCGTCAAACTTCACATTTTCCTACAGAAAGAAAAATTGAGCAGGTACAGAATGCTGTCGAATTATTCAGATTGTGAGATGCCACTCATCTAAATACATATGTGGATAGTAGGAAAAGTATTTTTACATCTTCATCTTTGATTTTAAAATTTTTTTAACAATGATTCAAACAGGGCAGCATATTGAAATTAGTTCACTCCCATAATCTACATATTTATCTCCAGCTCATTGGTGACTACTGGATGTGGGTGTCTTGAAGCTGTAATGAGAAATCGTGACCAGTGGAGTCTACCATGTTAAGGTAAATTGGATGTACATCGAAGGCGTTGGTTGAGGGTATCGCTATATCACAAACTAAGAGAAGTTGGTATTCACGGGTCGTTGATTTCTGGCCCAAGCTGCTGAATGATCAGCGAGCTTTTCCTGGTAACCTGAAGTTCCTGGGTTCGATAGCTAGTGCAATCGTTGGTGCATATTGCTGAAGAGTTCTAAACTAGGACGAAAAACCTGTCCAGTGCTCCTTGGTTTTCAATGGTCTTTAACTATTGATGTTGGCTGGTGACGAAGTCTGCACTGAAAGTATACATCTGTCTATACAGTTTATGCAAGCAGCCACATACTTCATTAACCGATACTATATCTTAATTTAGTCTGTTCATTGTGGTCCTTTTTTCCCCAACATAATCGTTTGTCACGTTACATTTTTTTTAAGGAAAACAATCTCCTAAACACTTAGAAAGGTGAAAATCCACATCCTCATCGATTGACTTTAGAAGTGCACTTAAAATATGCAATCATAGGAAGATATGAGTGGTTAGAAGTTGTTTCTATGCGTTTTACTGTAACGGGGGATATTTAAAGTTATAATTTGAATTTATTTCATTTATTTTGTTTAATAGATTGTAGATCCAGATGCTACTGAAGGCTATTCGCATAATGGTGTTCCTGTCCCACTACCTCCAGAATCAGTCCTTAAATGGGGTGAACGTCTTGCGTCTAATAAAGCTACTAATGATTGTGAACTTTTATTAGTCCTTTTCTTTGATACGAAGCGTACATGGCAATGGCTCAGTCCCCAAAAACTTCAACCTCTTGGTATACATAAAGAACTTGACTTTGAACGTTTACGAGAAGGAAGGCGAAGTAAAATGAAGCATTCGGTAAATTATTGATTGTTATTAATACATTCTGAGTTTATTAATACTGTTTAATGAATTAAACCTATACGTGTAAACTTGATCAATAGAATTAGATTCCAACCCTTCATTACTGGTCGAAAACCAAATGGCCTAAATCAATAAAACTCTTACAATTCTGAGTAATTCACTGTAAATTGATGGTCGTAACGATACCTGATTTGTGGAGGATGTTTCATATTTGCTGTGTAAGCATTGTGAATCTGTAGATGCTTGATTAGATAGAGTTCGGTGTGCATAGATCCTGTTTCAGCAGACCGTTAAAAAGAGTTCATGAGTCCTTAAATTGCACTGATAATACAATTCATATTGTAACGGTAGAAGACGAGGGACTTGGTAAAGGAATGTTTCTTTGCAATTTGGTATATTTATATAGCCGTATTATGTACACTTTATCTTCAAAGCATCATTTGCACATATCTTCCGTGTTGTGCTACTTCTGGCCTTCATATTGTGTTTCTTTCACGTCTCCTATGTATCTCCGCAAGCTGTATCATTTGCTTTCCCTGACATCAAATCTATCTCCCTGCTATTTGATGTTCTTATGCCGAGGAACGTCTCTTTATATACTGCTGATAAGTCGTATCAGTAGCACACGCCACAATACGGCATCGTCCGCTTTAACCAGAAGTTGATTTGCATTCTGAATAAAAATCAATATTTTCTATTTGGATCGTTGATGTAACTAGTGTCAATGTGTGTATTGCAAGTAAGACCGTAAAAGTTGTTAGGATTTTTTAAATTGTTTTACTCCTTATCAAATAAATCCATTGATGAAAGAAATAAGGTGAGAACTTCTCATCGTATAACTGGATGACTATATGAACCCCACTGCGTAGTCCATTGGCGGGAGTGCTTGACTTACAGCCAATGCCCGCTCCCTTGAGTGTGAGTCACTCCTCACCCATCCAGTCTAGCAAACAGGATAGCGTCATCAGCCGTCACACAATATGTATGGCTCATAGCTTGTTACATGAAACAGCTCTTCCGAGTCTCTAAGTGCAAACAAACGAAGTATTATTATGAAGCTATATAGCTCCGTGGTGACTAGCAGTGGGATGCAGAATACACATTTCGTCAGCTGCATGTACTCGCATCCCCAAGGAGTGATGGTGTTCTTGCTGAGGAACTCGAACCTCTCACTCATCGTTTCGAACGCATTCTCCACTAGATCACAAGAGCCATCTCTTGTGCAACATGGTCTCAGTCATTTTTTTTTAAGTATGTTCTAGATCGAGCCTTTGTGTTCAACAAAATGAGTCGACGGTAAATGTAAATTCCCCTAAAAACGAAGTATTATTTTGTTAGTCTCAATGTTTACTTTTTGTTGTTTCTTCAGAGTCAGTTTCTAGTCTGTCAGCAGTACTATAATGGTACATACTAAAAACAAAGTGTCGTTATTTATCAAGATGAAGTTGCACTTCAGTCACCTTTCAATGTCAGATGATAAAGCCTTAATTCCAAGTTTTACTGCGGAATGATATCAATTAGGTGACCATTGAAAACCAAGATGTATTGGACAGCTGTTTCGTTCTGGCTTGAAACTCTTCAGAAGGTACGCACCCATGACCCTATCGATGATTGGAACTCAGAACCTTCGGGTTTCGAGGCGAGTTTGTTGACCATTCAGCCACTCTGAGGGAATTCAATTGGCCATGAACTCTAACTTCTGTCAGTTCGCGATTTTAGCACCACCTCCAGACAATGTCATAGGTGAGTACGCCCATGGGTGCGCACTGATGAGGAATCCCAAACAAGGATGAAACAGCTGTCCAGTACTGCCTAGTCTCCACTGGTTCGCTAACTGATATCAATCCGTGATCAAACTTGAAACGTCAGATCCCTAAAAACTAACTCTTGAAAATCTTAATTACTGAGCAATCTAATTTGTGAAGAAGGCTGACCATACCATCTGAGATGTAAACGAATTAATACCAGTCTCAAGAAACTGCTGCCTTGTTTACTGCAGTTACCGAGATTTTTAATTTTTTTATTTATTTCATTTGTATTAGGTGACAAAGGCTTATCGTCGTGCTGTGGAACATATATGCAAAGTTCATGGAAGACCATATCCCTATACAGATGGAAAGTCAACAGATATCGCTGTTTTCACCCTGTAAACAAACAAAAATTTCATTCTTTTTTTGTACAAAGTATATTTCCCTAGTAATTCTATGTGACAGCTAGTCTTCAACAGCTTTTACAAATTTCTCAAGAACATTCACTAGTTGGTTACGTAACAATATGTTGTCAATGATCTTCTTTATGCTCACTTATCTATCATTTATCTAACTACCTATTGTACAATACTTATTATTATTATTCTGTTTCAATGAATTATCAGATGTATGCAGTCTATTAAAATGTTTGCATGAATGTCTATGATTCTGCAAATTCGTCAAAACAAATACACAATATATATTTCCATCTTGTTTGCTTTTTTGGATGACAATGACAGTATCATTATTGCCATTGTTTCTAAAAGCCTTGTATAGGGCGGGTTGAGTCCTGTTATAGATATCAGAAATACGATTGGCTTAAAAGAAAAAAATAGACGCCTAAATTAACTCCTGTGTTTCGATGGCATATACTACCAGGCAGGATTTGACTGACTAACCACGTGTGTAGATTGGTAATACGTGGAGTCGAATTCACCATTTACAAATTGTACACTATTCAAGGTGAAAATTGAATACGGTCTCCTTCAGAAGTGCGAAACACTCGGACCATAACATGTTTTCTGCTTGATGCCATTAGCGGCGATCGAGTGAGTAAGCATAACTGCATGTTGGTGGTTTTAAGTAATTCAGCTGTCTGAGCTTAGTCATCAAACCTAGCACATAGTTGATAAACTCGGTTTTACACGGGCGAAACAACCATATGGTGTTCCCATTACTTCGATCTGGCTGGCAAGCACCACTGAGTGACGTGAGTGGTTCCTTACTACTTATTCCAATCAGTGGCATATATAATCATGCAACTATGTTCGGTTTCTTGATCTATATTTATGGCATCAAGGAGATTATTTTTGGTTTCCAAAGGAGACTGACTACCTGAAACTATATAACATTCGCAAGTGGCGAATATGATTCTAGTTTCTGTGTTGTTTGATACTTAATTATTGATCCGTCTTTTGTCAGCTGATTTGCATTATGATTTAATATCATCTCATTTACTATGCTGCTTAGGTGCAGAGAACATGACTTCAGGGTGGTTGCCGGTATTTAGACTTCCTAACTTCTCATTGCATATCAACACATTTGATTCAGAATCGCCTTTTAATAATATCAGCAACTAATAGACTCACTGAGTTAAGTCACCACTTTAGTATATAATGATATCAAATGACCGGGATTGTTTAACAGCTCACATGCCACATGTATGGTTGCGTTTATCTTATCTATACCCTAAATAACCTGCAATATTTTTCAAAGCTTAAGCTGACAGAAACCAAATAACTGGCACACAGAAATTGTTATAGTTCCACATCCTTAAGCAAACTATGTAGTTTCATTACTACAATAATAATAAAAAATTTTGCTTTATTCCAAAACAGTATTTATGATAGTGCGGGGTTTACAGTATTTGGGTACAGTATTGTATCTATGTTCAACTTGGTGCAGCAGGTTGTTAACCGCAACCACTGTGTTGTAACTTCTTACCAAGTTGAAGGGTCTGAACTTTAACTCCGTGAATTAAAATGTCAATAACACCTATTCCTATAGCGACACACCGTCTCCTACTTTGTTCCGCTGTAGAACATAAACACGGACTTGGATTTGCAGCCATAATATCTCTAACCGTTCTCACATTCAATTATGATTTAATTTTTGCCCAATAACGAGTCTACCAAAGAATCTTCAAAACAATATCAAAGACAACAAACAGAATGTAAAAGCTAAGCGAATATAAACAGAATACGTACACTACACCAGGAGAAGTAACCATGACCTTCCTGCCTTCTTAAGTTCAGGAAGTGCTCCCAGCGTAAAGCACTTTTCCCATTCCAATCCCCACTTAGGTCTTCAAAGCTTCTGAAGTTCCAGTATCGGTATTGCATTCTATTTTAAAGGGCGGGGTTAGCATCGACACGGACAACCTCCCCTCTTTTTCCGGGTTTGCTACGGGCTAACAGACTAGATAAAGTATATGAGTGTTTCGGCTCCGGACCACCTGCGTGACCATCGACCATCCTACCAAGAGCATAGCCTGTTTCAAAGTAAATTACATCATACCTTAGATGTCCATCCATAGCACTGGGCAGCTGTCTCCTATCAGTTTCCGTTACTAGTCAAATTCTTGTAGATTATGACCGTTGACAATCAAAACCAACCAGAATCGATTACGTCTGTCTTCTGTGTAGCAGCTCAATTCTTACTTCTGTCAACAAGTGTATCACTTGCTAATATAAATGTCTTGTCCTTCAAAATCAACTTGTTACTTCAATTTTGATCGTTTCAACCGTTTTGAGTGACTAGGCTACTATTTAAATCTCACTAAAACACGTTTTGCGTAATCTCACTTTCAAAGAAGCAATAAATCGATTTATGTGCAAACAGCACTTACACTCTCTTAAAAGTCCCAAGCGACCTACGTTGCGTGAACTAAGGATAATTTGCAAAAGCCTTAGGAGTGACCCTTAGCCACATGAAGTCATTTCCCTCCAAGTCTACTTGACTTACACCCCAATGCACTGAATAGTATGGGTAAAACTGGTGATGTCAACGTCTACCAACTTCTCACAGGAAAACCACTCCGTTTCATTGATTATGTAAAGTATTTCAAGGCGATTAGAAAAGACGTGCTACCTGTCAAATTTTTCGACCCCGAGCAATTCAAATAACAAACCTTCGATTTGATGCAAGCTTAGTAGTTAATTCCTTGGGTAATAACAATATGAAGCGCCTTTTATCTGTCCGGAAGTTACAAGATGGCAATTTGAACGAGTTGCAAGTTCTTACCGAGATGTAAATCAAACCGTTATGCACTACATGTACATTATCAGTGCCAATGACTTCGATTAATTCTTTCCACAGTAGCTCATAGCTATCCATAATTAGTAAAAACGCTATAACTCGAATACCATGAAGTCGCAAACATTCATCTTCCGCATGTATCGTATTACTGTCATACACAGTTCACTTAATTGTCTAGTAGATTTTTGATTTCCGGCTAACGTTCCCATACACATGCATAGCTCCAGTGCAAGAAGCAGGGTAGGAAGTCATACAAAAAACTATGGATTATTGGGGAAAGACAATTTAGAAACTGTCTGTTAGTCTGAATACCTTTGCTAATTATATCTATTATTATTATCTCTTTTCTATTGACGACGATACCGAAAGACTAACTGGTGAAAGGATCAACTCCATTCACAGTAGTAACAGTCTTAACACACTTCATACTACAAACCCCATATAATTAATCCCAGCACTACTCCTGTTGGAGTCAACCAAAGCTACGACAGTCGAGTGGCGGGACGAGCTACACAGACGTTTACCAAAGATCAGGAACCTCTACCTCACAATCAAGAGGCGAGCACAAAGAAATCAAATTGGTTTATACTAGCTCGTAAAAACGATATTGGAACCCGAGTCTACTTGCTTTTCAAAACGCCTGTCACTGTTATAAAGATGAAAGCCACACAATTTACCTATCCAACATGACTAGACATATAGTAATGAACTTTCCACTATTCTATGCAGATATTAGTCAACATATCAGGAATATGACAGATAAAACTCTGCAGTCCAATATATGCGTTTGCAGCTTGTCGTTATTCTTTTAAACCAGGAAAGATAATCTGTGGCAGATATGAACTCATCATCATATTCTCAAAACGTTAATGTACCAGCTGCGAACTATAGGCAAAAGTATTTCACAAATTATCACCAACTGATTTACTCAAGACTTCAAGATCATACGCTCTAAGTAGCGTAGACCTCACTCGCCTTTCTATTAACAAATTTTGACTACCAATAGACCACGACTTACCTCGTTATTAATGTTGCTACTAGACCACGATAATACCCAAACCTTCAGTGCTTCACATGTAAAAGAGACCAATTATTTATATACCTATCCACAGAACCCTAGATAATACATATCATCCATACGCATGAGTGGTGACGACAAATCTGTATTTTCCATGAAAACAAACACATAACTGTTATAGGAGCCAATAATCCTAGCCAAATGATGATAGCAGCAACCACCACTGTCCTGGCGAGTGTGTAGTGGCGTGTCACAGCAGACTAATACTCAGTCAGTGCTTCATAAATGACAGCATACGAATTTAAGACATCATTTAGACAACTGCAATAACACACTTTCATTCAACATGTTTGTTGTTATATTATGGTTTCGATTGACACTCCAATCCATTTTACCTATGCTATGTACGTAAAAAGTCTTAAATAATGTCGACTCATAGGCTTTCAAAAACTACGACAAAATCATCGACACTTGATATAACACAATATCCGCAAGTCAAACTTTATTTAGAAGAAGAATCCCAGCAGTTTACCACCAAGATGTTTTCTGTGAGCTTCTTCGTGATCCATTATACCGGAGCTTGTAGTAAGAACAAGATAACTGAAAAAATTACGTAATAATGAACGAGAAACTTACCCGAATTGACGAGAAGGAAGCAAATTTCTTGTCCATCTTTCGGTGTCACGGACACCCATGTCGAATCGAGGGCTGATTACACCACATTTGTTGAGACGTCCATTTAGCTGTACAACAATCTTTCCAGAACGATGGTCATCAACGATTTCGAACTCTCCGATGTAACCTTTCCTCTGCATCACTCTTAAAAAGCGTACTATGACTTTGGATGACGGTCGGATTAAGACCTGACGCTTTTTGCGCCTCTCTGCATTGCATATGGATTTCAAAGCATCAGCGAGCACGTTAAGCCTGACCATTGTTACTTCCCTCAATCAGCGTGCGAAGCTGCGAAGTCAACTGTGGCGCCTGCAGAATTCGTAGTTGAGGTGTAACGCTAATATCATACAAACAGAGAGAAGATAAATAGACTACGCGAAAACAAATGGACAATAATAGAGTGAGTGATTATGACATTACAAAGTGGTTAGAGATTTTCGCTTTTTGTTTGAATGAGTATATTTCTGAACAACGTTAATTACCATTAGTATGGCATGGAATAACATTATGTCGTCATTGATCTACAGGTCAAAATGCCAGTAATGCGCTGTAGGACGCACAAACTAACTTGCAGTGGTGGTAAGGCAGTAGTCTATCCTAAGAATAAATTATCTGTTTCTGAAACGAAAACAGTGTCATACAAGAGTGAATAATGCGGAATCACACACTGAGACTGTTGCATCATTCCTCAACTGATCCTCGATTGCTGCGTCAACCTTCGTACGGAAGATTTGAAGTTTTTTTCAGTGTTTCTTGGCATGAAACTTCCCCTTCTCTGCTTGTTTTACTCGTAATTTAGTTAGCAAGGTGTATAGGTCTTAACTGTTCATAGCTTCATTTGGAAATGGTGAGAACCTACTCTTCACGTTTACTGAGTAGTGATAAACACCAGTTATGTCTAAAATTACACCAAATAAAAATCCTCATCAATTGCTCACATCCCTGTTCACTCTTACACTCTTACTCTTAGGAAAAAACTCCTACCCCACCGAATCCGGAATACAGGTTGTCCTCCCAGTGGGTGCATCAGAGGACTGGATGGTAAGTCTGGAAGTGTTTGTGGGAGCTGCATAGCGTTATCCTAAGCGAACGTATCAAGGTAACTCAGACACACGTCTTGTGCGTACTAATAGGGTGATATTATTGTCCACTATGAAGGAACCAGGTAGTCCATATTCTGTTTAGGTTGAAATCTGGGCTTGAAACATAATAGGACTGCAAGCCGTGTAATTCAGCCAAAAGAAAATCTCTCCAGGGGATTCGCCATTCGTGGATAAAGTATTAGATGTATCTGGCCCAACTCAAGATATTCCGGTATGTGAAACCCTGGAATGAGGCTTACCAGAGTGTCTCTAAGCTTATTTCTGACTCAGATACTTCAAGCAGGACTTGGATAAAGCAGACGCAATGGTAGATTAGTTCGTCAAGGTATACATGCTTGAATCACTGCCACATGGTCATGTTCTACAGTACGTTGGGGTTGAAATAGAGACACGGATTCCTGCCTGAGTCTAGCTGACCTCAAATCTCGCTTGCCTACCCCAAAAACATTACACAATAGCTACCTGTTTGTCTAGTTGACAGTATTCAAGTGAAGAAACACCACGATGTGAGCCAAAAAGTAAATGTCAATAAAATATCGTTATCATATTTTGCGGAATAATGTATGACTCAAAATGTCACCAGGGATATGCCAGTTAGTATGCAGTCAGAATTAATAAAATGTTGGCATTATTTTACGCCAGCCAATCCTAGTTGATTTATTTCTAAACTGGACTTCGACCACCATATCATATACGTTGCACAAGCTCCTGCTGCTACAAAAAACGGCATATTTCAGTCTCCATTATCCTAAACGTTTCTCAGTCCCCTCCCAAAGTCTACACAGAGGGATGAGTGGAGCCCGGAATTGTTCTAAAACAGCTAGCAGCCTACATAACGGTAGGTAGTGGTAAGTGACATTGTGCTGCTCTAGGCCCACCCAGTTCATCCTGTATATCAATTAGTTCCTTCAGACCAAAGATTCGCCTATAGCTATTCACGCGGATGACGTTAAAATTGGAGAGAGCCGAAGGTCTGTGACAACGTGTTAGCACTTCAAACAGATCGCAAAGACCCATTAGCATGGTCAAACAAGTTGCTTTTTCCCATCAACGTAACTCAGTGAGCAGCGACGCAAGTGTGGATGCAAGAGTGAATGTATATGAGGGAATACCAATCCCTTCAAATCAAACGCTCACGGATCTGCATATCGCGGGTCATCACTTTAAAACTACAACACATTGCCTGTCAAACACACATCGTGGCTTCACAAACTAACGGATAACATAAAGGGCATTTAACAAGACCTCCAGAAATGTTTCTTACCTATACCTCTGATCACGCCTAAACTGGAAACTTGCGCCCAAATGGTCACCCCTTGCCTTAAAGGGGACTTACGGATATTCAGAATGGTTTCAGGGACAGTCAGTATTTTCGCTTTGACTGATTGATTATGCAACGAACGACAGACTTAATCGCTTATCTTAGTCGTACCGCAGAAAGAGAAATCCGCCAGATAAAAAACCACAGAAGACAGAAGGGGAGAGCTTATACACCGAAGAGGAAATTCATCATTGCATGGTGATGGTCCTCCCACCGACTTAAGCGCTTCTGGAATCTTCCATGAGAAGCGCTGGTATCTGCGTCCTCTCTAAAAAAACTATGGTACAATATCCAATATCATTTTCACGAGCTAGTATAAACGAATTTGATTTCGTGGTGCTCATTTCTTGAGTGTGAGGTAAAGACTCCTGGTCTCCGGTAAACTTCTGCGTAGTTCCTTCTGCCAGTCAACTGTCGTAGCTTTGGTTGACTCCAACAGGAGTAGTGCTGGGATTAATTATATGTTTTTTGTAGTATGCGGTGTGTTAAGATCGTGTTGCTACAGTGAATGGAGTTGATCCTTTCACTAGATAGTCCTCCGGTGTCTTTGTCAAAAGAAAAGAGATAATAATAGATAAAATTAGTGTAATTTATTTCATACTTTAAGGCAGAGAAATAAATCGGTAATTCAAGAGGCAGTTTCAGAATAGAGCGGCTCTATTGCATATCCTTGGTACGATGCGTGTTGCTATGTTACTATGGGTTTCAAGCGGCCTTGATTTTGGGGGAAGACTTAATTCATGCCATATCGCGATATCACGCACATAACTTAGGCTCATAGGTGAAAGAAAGTTATTATCATGGAATAAAGACAAGTAGTTCGGAAGGTAAGGAGGAATTTATTTTGCAGTTTATTCGTATATACTATTGCGCATTGCGTTGCACTGCAATTCCACATGTAGCAAAAGATTATGAATACCTTGCTCTTCTCTTCTGCATAACAAAATTACTTCACAAGATTCGTTATATTAAGCGCAGTAAGGACATATATAAATTTTCCCACTTCAGTGTTGTGAGTTAATTTGTGAACTGTGTAGACCCCTAAAGTAATGCATTTGGCATGGATGCTTCATAGGGAAATCAGGAGTGTGCATGTTGTACTAAATCTTCTGCGCTTTCTGTATGGATTCGATGTTCATCAAGTGGCCACTTAACAACTGCTGAATGTCGCATGCGATCAAGCTAGAATTATAACTGGTAATTCCAGGAATTGTTGTCGTTTTCATTGGCAGCAGTTCACAGCCTATTGAGTTTACGCCGGTACAATACCCATTTCTCACCTTACTGAGGAGACATTAACTAGTATTCTGGAAAAGTAGTACTTCAGTATGTGAATTTCATGAATCCTACACATTGCATTTCATTCACTTAGTACTGAAACTAAATTATGAGGGGACTGATACTTCCAAGAAGGATATAATACAAGGCTCATTTCTACAACCGTCGCCCTTAATTAATTCACTTTCATCATACATGTATTAATAGAATTGTCTGTCATTGACTTTAGGGACTTACCATGGAACAGTCTCGTCAACTTAGTGTATGCTGATTATACTGTCTACTTAGGCTGTCAGAAGTGACCACTGGAACTGGAATATATGAAAGACCACTCGTTTTTGATCGTAGTGCCTGTGCCCTTTCTTCTGTGTTAAGTAGTCTAATATGGTGAGTAATATTGGGGTTAAGCTTAAGCATTCACTCTGTATAATCTCACATATCTGAGCAACCCTTATGTTTTTTCCATATCACTGTTCATTTTCCACCACATTGTCGCGCATTAGAGTTCTATTTAATTTCTTTTTCCCTGCCTTTATGTGCTGCATGGAATGTGATAACCTAAACGGGTGCACTTGTGTGCAAGCTTCTATGTTGAAAGTCAGTCTGTCAAAATGATCTATAATGCAGGTATAATGAAATGCTAAAACGTGGATAAAAATAAGCGAAATGTCAACAAATGATAATCGTATTATTTTCATTTGGTTTTTGTCTTACTGAAAAAAGAGTTATCTTACAACAATTTCTCCTCTTGCCCAAGATAACTCTCACACCCAAATGCGAAGTCCAAACACATCTGATGAAATATGTTTTGTTATTACCGACTAAATATAATATTTTTCAGGTGTGGAATGTAACAAATCGAACTGTTGCACTTCTGTGCTGAGTTCCATGTTAAAACTCAGTCAGTCAGCTTTGTCACTTCAGCTGCCTAGTGTCACAACTCACTACAGTGTTAATTGGCTTAAACAATTATTAATGCCATTTCCTAAGTACTCTATGCATTTTCCAATTCCTTAAATTGTCCAGATAAGTGCACCGAAGAAAACATAAACTAAAAGTTAGTAACATGGGCATAAGAAATAGTGTGAATAGAAGTGAATGAGATGAGTGATTTTTTATGCCTGCAGTACGCCTAACTAAAATACTCATGCACATCAATGAAGCAAATGTTGTGTGACTGGCTTGATATAATCATGAGCAATAAATTGTGCTCGAAACGTCATCAGATAATATTGCTGTATAGCACTGTGTGATTTATCAAAATAAAATTTTATCCATAATGGAGTTATACTCTGCCGTAGTGCCCAAGTTTTATACTTATATCAAAAATACTTATCTTATGCTTTGTGGGTCTCCCAATTGTCTCATTATTGTCCTCCTCATTGCATGTTGTCAGGCTTTGTAGACATTCTACTAGATGTCATCATACATAGTGTCTGCAAGTAGTCTTTCAATACATCCACCTCCCACAAAGTTGTTGGAATGAAGGCTTGGGATTATTCAATTCGGGCCATAGTACAATTAGTGTGCTTATATTACTGATGCAATGACATGCCAGACTTGTACATGCTACTGTGAAGTTCGCCTGTAATAACAATCCCTACATAGTGAATACAATGCTTGTGATAACAATTCGTCATTACCTTTTCATTCCGCTGATAGGTGC